CAAATTTCATCTTACTCAGGTCAAAGGTGATTTGGTGTGAGACTTATTTGTATGTATTCTTTCGTAAGTTAAGAGGCATGAAAAATGTGGTATTTGTAGTGAGAGTAGAAATAACTAACATGAGTTTTTTCGTGTCGGATTTAAACACACTGTCTGTGATTATTTCGAAAAAATAGTCCATGTTAGGTGATGAAGGTTTTCAGTCAGTTTGCTAACTTTAAAAAGGATTAAATGGTTACAGAATATAACATGTATTTTTATTATTAATTTTCTTAAATAATTTGAGATATTATTGGGTCTATTCATGTGGTTTAGACGTTTGTTAGCACAGGTTAAATCCTTTACAAAAAGTCTACATTCTAGGACATATCTTAATTGAAACAAAATCTAATGCATCGATCCATGTTTATAGAGGTGCTAAATGAATCATTTTTCTTGTTTTTAAGTTAAAAAGTTTCAGTTAATGTTGGTTAATTTAAAAAGTTCTCTAGCTCTGTTTTCTTATGATTTCTTACAAGTCTTATCTATCGAAAACAGCATCGGAAAAACTATTATACCAATACATGATACTTTATTTTATTTTTCTCCCAATAACAACTTGTTTCATTCGAGTAAATTTTTAATAATATTCATAAGAAAAATATCTAATTGCCAGATATTTAATACAGTTTTGTTGATCTTCTGTTGAAATAAATTTTATGTTTATTTTGACGATGGAAAATCAAAATATGTAGTGGGCAAAATGTATTTCCACGATAGAAATCAGGCCAAGACGTAGCTAAAGCCTTTATGAGAAAATATTTATGATTCAGTCTAGACAGACTGAAATTCACTGCGTTTTCTGTGTAAACAATTTAGCTTGAAAATATTCGGATAGTGTTTTTGTGACTAATGTTATGTAATTCGATAGGTAATTTGGATCCTTCCTCACTTATCAATTTGCTGATAGGTTATGATAGCTACTGGGCCGATGGAATCTAGTCTGAATAATTTTTATAATAAACAGTAATGATCTCGTTAATTGATTCCACTGGCTTTTGTTAAACTGATGTATTCTACTTGTTTTATTTCTCTTTTATTCATCTTTAAGAGAAAGTTATGAAAACCTAGATTATTTTCGCTCTATGATTAATTAATCTGTTAAGTTTTTACAAATGGAAATATTTCGTAATTATTCTATAAACGTCACTGATATAAGTAGATTTGACAGGAAACCATGGTCTATGAAATTAATGAAGTCGTTTGAGGGATTGTTATAAACTGGAAGTTGTAGTGTTGATTTGCACATCTACACCTCGTATTGCAAGATGTTTAAAGTAAAAAATTAAAAATGATTATGCATGTTATATGTTATTTATTTTTATAACAATAAACAAATTATGTGACCTCTCAGCTACAACATCTTTGCGATGTAACTGAATTCACAACATCTCAACATCACAAGTCTTATTGACAAAGTATACAAAACTACTGTATTCTTCCATTAATTTCTTTGTTCAAATCAGTAATATCGACGAAATAAATACAATGTCATGTGATGATAAAGAAGAATTGTAGTTCAGATTTGAAAGAAATAAATAAAATTGTTGAAAACAATGATAGTTGTTTGAAAAATATAGTAGACATAATTTAGTAGGTCGCAAATATGTCAATCTGTAAAGCAAGCACACTTGTGTCATTGAAACTAACTGTTAAGCTAGTAACTTTCATTTTCAAACAGATTTAACCTCAAAAGAATCCCACCAGAAGAAACCATGCAAATTGTATGTTACCACACTTAACTATTTTCTTTACTGAAAGATGAATTCAAGTAACTCTTACTGATATGCATAAAAGATGCACACTCTAAAATTAAATTTAGAAAGGAGTGTGAACATGATGATACATTTCATTTTTTGGATCTTGGTAGTAAATTTAATTCAGTCTACTGATTGGAAAGATATACTTATCACAGGGACGCATGGAGCGGAGTATACATACGGATGAGAATTGGCTAGAATGCTATTCAACCGTGTATGTAGATGGGGAGAAATATGCCATACGTGAGAAAAGTTACGTGCAGAGATGTATTAATAAATACGGAACGACTAGAAAAAAAGGAATATCCTGTTTTTAGAAAATACGTGTCTTTCTCAAACTTGGTTTTGAAGGTGATGAATTGACTAGGAGGATTGATTTTAGGCTAACAACAATGCTAAAACGTACGTGTCCAGCGACCCCATTTATATATCTTTACTAAACGAAGCGCTTATTGCGACAGTCAGATATAGAGAAATACTCGCCTTATGTTACTTGCAATTGAGTTTACCAGTTTATATGTACGTGCTAAAGAACAGAAAAGAATTTTTTCTGTCTTTATCTCTGAAAATATTCCCCGAGAGTTGAGACTAAATGAACAGAATGCTTTTGACAATATAATTCCTAGTCATTAGCTCATAGTTTGATGGTTACATTCACAATGCTGATTGATCCTCCGTTGAAAAATACAATCAGTTACATGAAACATATAGAACAGTTTACATTGCACAGATAAACTTCGTACTTATCATAGCTTAAGAAAATGTTAGTCATTTTGTGTTAATACAGTTGTTACCCAGTTTGTTTTTACCTAAAAAGATAAATAGTCTTAATTATACACTCATAGATACATATACGTATTGGATATTTTGTAGGAATAATTTTGACATCTGCGACGTTATATATCTTGACGTATATATATATATATATAAATATCAGATAAAATATCTGATACCTATTCAATAAACAACAAGATTATGATTAATTTTGAAAGTAGATACTACAGACTGCAAAAAGCAATTGAAATCCTAATGTTGTATTCATTGCCTAGCATAGCTAAACATAAGTAAATAATTTATTTGGCTTATCAGAATGATATATATATATATATATATATATATATATATATATTAAGATTCTATCTCATGGCAGTACATAAACATGTTTGTCATTATCTAAAATAAGTGATGGATAGATGACGTGGTTTTTGTAGACCAGATGTTATTCACATGTAACTCACACATAAATACACATGATGCTTAATTACAGGGTAACTCCCTAACGCTTAGCATACTTTTTTTTTCTAGATAATAAGTATACATTTCAAAAGTTCTAAGTGTATAGAACACCGTTGCATATGTAAATGTTTACGTATATGTTAGTTGTTACATATAAAATAAAGTTAACAGGTTTTAACTTCCATGTAAATGCTTATATTGTTATTCTTCAACTCTTATCAATCATCAGTCTGCCATTTGAATTTGTATATTACATTCCTTTTTCGTAATATTTAATTTAAGAAAAAACTCTACTAACTGTCTCATAACTTTTCTTCAGTGAAAATCCTCTTACGACTTTAGTTTCTTTTTCCAAATAATGGTACAGATAACTGAGTTTAGTTGGAAAACCTTGAAAAATCACCAAAAAGGTTTGGTCATTTATTTCTTCTCAATAGTTTGGTACTATTAATTATGAGAGCATAATTCAAGATTTTCACATCTCATTGATAAACACCATCTGAATGAATTGATAATACACGATACAGCAATTCGTATTTATCAACTTCGGTTAATTTTTCTCAATTAGAAATTATCCTCAATCGTACTATAGGTGAGTATTTTTTAAACCGATTGTTTGACTTATCCTAGTTTACAAAGGAAATTATCTTCAAACTAATCAAATCTTATCAAATATATTGATTTACTTATATATTGAAATTGAGTTTATTAATTTGACTATTTAAAGGAACAGTTAAATCATTTGTATTTTCTGGCAACATAATCATACTGATCTGGATTTCAAAAGTTTCATTGACCAAACGAGTTAATCTTTTCGTTATTTAGAAAATTAGCTTGTTCGCTCTCGTACTAGTTAAAAACAAACACAGTGAAATGAATTAACTGTTTGTACGTGAATATGAAATTATTTTCGTCTTTAATACTACAATAATTACAGATAATATGAATATTTTCACAGATGTGGAAAAATTCCATTAGTTCATTTCGTTATATACTTAAGAAAGTTTTTTTATTAATTTCAACATGAATAACAAATTGTGTAAAATTTTTAGAATTTTTAAAAAGTATTCATTTATTTAAAAGTCAGTCTGGTAAGTTATGCCAACATTCACTTGGAATTCCTTGCCCACATGGAACGTAATAGTAGGTGTAGTTCATGTGATACATACTTATTGTCTGACTAGATAGTCATTGATATTTTTTTATGAACTATTTTAGTCAATATGTTACAAATGAATTCTGAAATAAAGTTTTCAATGAGATAGATAATTAAGGATCACTTATTATTTTACTTATTATTCCAAAATGTTACTTCAGTAGAATAATTTATAAACAACATCATTGACCTTGAGACCATATTTCCCAGGAGGAAAAACCTTGACTGTGATTGGTTACTGTGTTATTTTAGTGTGCTATTTTTGTGACTGTCCCAAGGACGTCTCTATGAAGTTTAAATAAACGCGATTTGTGTGCTTGAATTCATTGTGCTTGCTGGGTGTTTGTAGAATACCCTTTCTACGCTATACGAAGACTTTTTCGTTAGTTCGTTTGGGTCAACGGATCAGAGTAGCCTACCTGGACACTGGTTCATTGTCTCGTTCTCGTTTATCGACTAAGCTGAATTCGTTACAGTTTCAAGCATATCACGTGACGAGCATAACAGTTTTCAAAATGAACTTATTTTTCTGCTTTGTTATCTTCAAGTTATATTTCAATGTCACAAAAAACGAAGTTTGAGCTTCATTGCTTTTGAAGAGTTAATGCATTAGTAAATTCCTCATATACAAGAAAATATCTACGAGCTCTTCAATAAAGCCACTGATACTTCAGTAAAGTATATAAAAGCTAAGAATTTTTAAAGCCCTATTGCTGTGTCAAGACAATTCATGCCTTAATTTCAACCTTGAATAAAATATTCACTAGCAATTCAAATATCAAAACTCTTAAAGTTCAAACAAAAAAAACATGGTAGTAACTCACCTTGAATCATGCCATAGGTTTGTTATGTAAACTCTAGAGTTCCTTATCCTTAAAATCCATTCAATGAAAGGTTAGTCATGAAACTTTGAAGCACGAATCAGTAATTTATCTGTTGTCATAGAAATTTTAGCTTTCATCAGTATACAGCTTAAAACATGTAAATTAAATGTCCTTGATAAACTTTGTCAAACCTAACTGATAATAAATATTTAAATTTAACTTCTGGAAAAATGGTGCTCGTATGACTTCATGCACCATATTCTAGATATGTTTGTACTATAAAATACTTTCAAGTACCAATCTCTCGTTCTTTAACAACATGAAATACTTCATTTTGAAATAAATAGTTTTGCATTAAATAAAAACTATCATTGCCAACATACTAGATAGGCTTTCCTTTTGATATTATCTGTTCAGTAGATTAAAGTTATCCACTTAGTCTTTGTAAGAAATTTCAAACGGTCATATCAAATGACCGATTGCAAGTAAATAATATTTACCGTTTTCACTGAATTGCATATTTATTTTGTTTATGCAGTTTAACGATGTTTTCTATATTATAAATTATTCTAATTTGTGCATCATTTATAAATTAATTATTCACATATATATAAAAATATACATTCCCTTTCCAATATCATAATGGCATATCATTTTATACAAAGCAAGCAATATAGAGAATGTCATTAAAATATTTATTAGTTTTTTATATATGAATGATACCTACCCTATTCCTAATAGGAATAAATGTTTTTTTTCTTATAATCAGATTTTTAAGTAAGCATTACTCACCACTAATGCATAATTTCTTATCTTACCATCATAGCATTTTTATATAAAAATGCACAAGTAAAAATTAATAAATGCGAAATTTAACTAATTTCATGAGATTAATTTATTGTTAAGAAAATAAGAAAAAAAATTTCACAGTTAATTTATTCTTTAGTTGTCATATTAATCAGTAGATAAATTACAATTTTAATTAATATAGATTGTTCAATACTAAATATTTTCTGAAAAAAATTTTATGCATTGAGACAATTTTTACTGTGTGACTGGTTTATGACTGACTGATTGGGAAGAAAGAGAGTTTGTTCCAAATTATATTAGATATGTTTGTGAATATCTATTCAACGTTATATTTTTCTTTCTGTCTGTTAAACTGAATAAATTGAGATTTGAATTTCTATTCAAACTACAATATTCATTGTTCAATGTCTATCTCCTTTCATACTCCACCTTTCTTTATCTGACTCACGTTCAGTTTTAGAAATAAAGCTATGAGGAAGAAAAATGATAATGATCGATCATTCAGTTTGAGTTTTATCCTAATATTTCTCTGCCTGCCTTCGTGATCTCACTTATTAGATTGTTGCTTGTCTTTCTGTTATACTGAGTGTCTGAACTAGGATCAATAGAAAATAAGTTTCTACTTGATATTTTTAACACTTATTGACGTAGAATACACATCTCATGGTAAGTTGACAAGCATATACACTGATATTATCCCGTCTATTCTATTAGAGTTTTATTCTATTTTCGTTGTAACTATTTCTGAGGAAAAGAAATACGCAGTAAGTAATGGCTGAATATTAATTGAAGTTATGTACGCATCAACTGTTTAGCTTTGGATACTTTAGTAAGAAACTATGAGTCTAAATTTCGTTACCTTCGATATACTAGCCAAATAGACGAACCTAAAATATCTCAAATATGATTTGAAACAAATTTCACATCGGGCTCAGCATTCTCTGTTTCCGGTCATATCAGTGAGTAAAAAAAAATCAAAGCACTTTCTAATCGTCAAGCAGGAATTCCTCTCAATAAGACAAAGTTCACCTCCTGGTAAGCGATACGTGAAACTCGGCACATAAATTTGGTGAATAATATTCCAAAACTTTTAACATGGAATTGAAGTAAACATATGAATTTAAAGAAACCATTTATTTAGAGATCGATCGTTTGTTTGTAGTGCCTCCACATACATTTGAGTTCGCCCATATTTAATTTGATTAAGCCTTTCGATTAACTTATTTATGCAAGCCATCTGTACAGCAATAACTTGTATGTACCATCGGTATTTTTCATTATCTGGTTTGTATGACCTGGTACGACAGAACATGGCTTACCAACTACGCTCACATTCATCCTGTTCGCTTTAATGTCAATCTCATAAATATCTCGTGACTCAGACATTTTGCTATGTACATTTTAACCTTATTAATTCATTCGCCAATTCTCTCGCTAGCGCGCTTTCTCTTCTCTATGTGCTTGTGGTATGCTGTTCTATTTGTGGCGTGTCAAAATAAACCTATTCAACACTTCATGTTCACCTTCTGATTTATAAACCGTCAGGCACTATTTAGTAACGATTGTCCGGACGAGCAAATTACGATGTCTAAGAACACGTTAGATTCCGACCGTAACGAACCCGAATCCATTAAATTTCTTAGCAAGTGAATTTGCTTCAAATAACACTAGAGTAACATCATTCATTTCATTAACTACAGATTATCGGTATGATATCGAGATTATTTTCAACAGTCAACTTTATGAAATAACATCATGTTTTGGTTTATTGTGATTAAACGTCTTGTCTAGAGAATTAATCTAAGAATTTTAACAATTATCATGATACATTTGAAAGATAGTATTGACGTTGTTTTCCTATTATTATTATTATTATTATTATTATCTAAATATATATGAAATTTCGTAATCAACAAACAGTTGATGTTTGCATATTATTAAAGATTAAGTGTGATAGAAATGAAAAAATAACTACAGAAAATAAACAGAAATTATGCAGATTCATTTTGTTTTTTGGAACAGAATCTGATTTACTTTTGTTTACTTAACTAATCCGAATGAAAAATTAAATTAAAATGAATCTCTAAAATCCGGTTTATTCACAAATCCGCATCCGGTTTATAACTGATGTTAAACTTGTCCAAATTCAGATAAAATACACATAATAGAATACCACACTGATGAGAAGCGTAGTAATCAAAAGGAAAAAAAGGAAATAACCTTTCGAAAATAAATTTTGTCAACACCAATTAACTGTTTATAAAATTTCTGTTTGATGCTAAATTTATTTATAGATTTTCTACCTTTTACGCTCTTTTTTTGAACTATTGTTTTCTCCTTTCCATTCCTTTTTCATACAGGATAAAATCTGATCTTTTTAATACTTCATTATCAACTTATCCTTCTGATAAGCCAAATAAAATTGATACTAAGATTACAACAACAACAACAACAACAACAACAACAACAGCTATACTTGAAAAGGAACCAATTATCAGTCATATTCATAGTAATGATAGTAGCAAGGATAATTTGAAAAGTTATAATTCTTCGCTCTTACAAGACAAAAAATGCACAAGTAAGTTAGTGGGATTAACATTTTATTAAGTCATTTATTAAGTAATCATTCAAGTATAATTGAACAAAAATCTATATATTTTCATCACAGAGTTGGGTAGATTGTTGAGTTCCATTGGAATCATGAATCAGTCAGTGTCAGGCCACCATTAGGAATTCGAGGGACACTGGACGATAGTTTTGTCCTAGTATGAGACTCAGTAGTGCGGATCCACGACCTTTGCTCGCGGGAAGGTTAAGGGTTCGATTCTCAAGAGCGGGGGTCGTGGATGCGCACTGTTCATGAGTACCATACTAGGATGAAAAAAACCGTCTAATGCTTCTAGGTTTCTAATGGTGGTCTAAAATTGATTGTTTTACAATTTCAACAAATTTACACATTTTCAAGTGTTCATTTTGCAATATTGATATAGATTTTGTTGAAGAAAGTCATTTAGAAATACGTGTATATACAATAAAATTTTCTTAACAACAAGTCCATCTTAACTGTAATGTAACTGGTGAAACACATAATGTTACACAATTATTTGATGAGCTTAAATTGGTTTCTTTGACCTAAATGGTTTTAACCCTAGAAATATCACCATAAAGAATGATGCTATTTTCTTGAGAAATAAAGAGTAACTGATTTTATGCTTATCAATTATTAGCAATTAATTAACAGAAATGGATGCAAACCATGAAATAATTTCTAATTATTGCCTTTAAATTCAGTGATATAATTAAAAACTAAGTAACTGCAAGAAAAATCCAAGCAGAAGACCAATATGTTAGTATTCATATATATCGCTAACATATCTCTTTAGCTCATTAATACGAAAAACAAATAACCAAAAAATATTCAATCATGACTAGATTATGACCATGCAACTTACTGGTTATGTCAATATTCGGATTTAAGCTCGATTCCCTTTCTCCTCTTTTTCGGTTTATGAACCTGTATAGTATTTTCAGCATTCAATGTAAATCAATCTCTAGTACACAGAAACGTCTGTTTTTTTGTTTAGTATTTATCCTATTATACCACTAATTTATTGGGTTTTGCATAGACATTTATGTTGGTGAACAAGATGCTAAACTAAGATGACAAATCTGTTAATTCAAATGCAAAGCTTCATTGACTTAGTTGATGGAGAAATGTTAAACCTACGTTCAGCAACCGCCTACTTTACTTGGATGGGAGAAGTCTAGATAAAATTTGGGGCAACAATACTATTTTGTATTATCAACCGATTACCTCAGTAACTATTGATCTCATCTGTGTTAGTAGATGGAGATTGTCCAGCTAAACTCTTCTCTACAAACTTAATCAGTGATTAAATATTTTGTGAAACGTGCCTCAGAATTGGACTCCATTACCAAAATGTATTCATTATTCATCTCTGTGATCATGAATTTCAATATTCTTACATGGATTTCTTCTTTATCAACCATTTTCTTTACATCTAAACCTTCTGACTATCTTCGACACCACTACTGTTATGCTCGTCTCTAGGTATGCTTAAAACTTTTACGGGTTCACCTAAGTCGAATTACAAGAACAAGACAATGAACCAGCGTCCAGGTAGGCTACTCTGATCCGATTGTCCCAGCAAGAAGTCTTGATATAGCGTAGAAAGTGTATTCTACAAACACCCAGCCAGCACACAATGAATCCAAGCACTCAAATTGCGTTTATTTATACGCCATAGAGACGTCCTTGGGAGAGTCACAAAAATAGCACGCTAAAATAACACAGTAACCAATCACAACCAAGGATTTTCCTGCTGGGAAATGTGATCTCAAGGTCAACTGATCGGCCAACGAAATAAATGCAAAATAAAGATACTTATCAAGCGAGTTCTGAGGATCTAACATCCCCAACAACTACTATTTCAATTTCTCTGACATTCATTTTGGTCAGTTTATATCTATATGTTGATGTAATGTTGGCACTCTGGTTAAGTAAACACTTATGTCAAGCTCTACAATGACTATGACTTACTGATTAATATTTTTCCTCTGTCGTATTCTTAAATAATAAATGGAAACATTTAAAAATGCATTATTTTAGACAATCCGTAAAATCTGACATATTTAAAGCGATATGATGAATAAGATATACGTTTCTAGAATTTATCTAGTTAAAAAAACATTCTCCTTATTCCTTTTTAGTGAAACAAGATACACTGATCCCTTCTCAACCGATCAATATAAAATTACATGAAGAATCAAATGGATGTAAAGTCAAACAGCCATTAGATCATATGTATACATCGACCGGTGAACAAAATAGCAACAAATCCAATTTCGTATCAAATTCTCGACCACATATATGTATGTCACCAAGATGTCCACCAGATGGTGCAGCAATTCATGAAATATCTCCGCCGAGTCTTAGTAAATCAAAAAAATCTGTGATTTATGAAAATTTAATTGATAGATATTTATTAATGGAAGATGAGAAGCATTTAATGAAAGAAATCTCTTCAAAATCATCAATTACAACAAACAATATTAAAACTACTACTACTACTACTACTTCTACTACTACTACTACTACAATAACAACAACATCAACCAGTACAAATAATCGTTCATCTGTTCTAAATAATCACATCCACGATAACAGTACTAATAGTAATAATAATACTAATCCAAAAGATTTAACAACACACAATGTTTCAACACAAAGTACTCAAACAACTTTTGACATGATAGCGCTCACATCGACTAATCTTCCAATACAGGATTGTTTTCCGACTTGTGATAGCATTAATAAAGTAAGTTAAAATCAATAGTATTCTAGTTTTTTGAGAATAAAATGATATTTAAAAGTATTTTTGATATTTGAAATAGAAAATAATTTGATGTAATTAAGCAGGGATTCATTAAAATGTTATTTACATTAATAATGAACTTAACAAAAACTCTTGAACAATAATGAATCAACTGGCACATTGAATAATCTGAATTTTTGTCGATTAATTGACTTTATTCAACTTGAATAGCACCTAAGAAAATGTTATTATTGTCGTCTAAATGATAAGTAATCTCTAATACAACTACATTCACTATGAACATTTTAACTAGTTATATTTAGTCGTTAGATCAATGAATGCAGTTAAATATTTTGTTTCATTACCTCGGTTTTTTAAAAACAATAAGTGAAATTTTTGGAATGTAACGTTCACTTTATCAGACTTATTGATTCTTGACGTATCTTTTAAATAAAATTATTTTACTGCAACAGTCAGATTTTCAAAAAGACTCACTAGAATGAAGATTCTCATATATGAGTCCATTCAAGAACTATATGAAGATTAGTTAATAATTAATGCAGCTCGATTGCATAGTAACAGTATACACAGTTAACGATTTTAAATATTAATTTGTGACATCATAGACATCATAGTTTAAATTACAAACTGATCTTAGTTAGATCATGATTGAAAACTTGGAATAACTAAATGGTGGTTTCGTTCTAGTATGCATCTACAGCGCTATGGTTTCACGATACTACTTAGAATCTATCTCACACAGAAACTACCAACATTTAGACTATATGGTCACTATTCAGTAGTGTATATCTCTGATGTCACTCAATTCATAATTTTGCTCCACCCTCATGGATAGTTGTCATGAATGTGCACTGCTGAGGGGCTCCATCCCGAGATGAAATGGCTATCTAATACTTTCAGGTTTTCAGTGATGGTCCAGTTAAAACTGGTTATTGGTTTAAACTATTTTAAATGTGCCTATAATTTCAATGTTACATTTTATTCTGTTCAGTTAAACTTGTATATGAAATATACAAATCAGAGAGATTAATCATAACAAAAAACTTAATCACACAAATCCTTCAAAAAACATACAGAAATATGTGAGATAAAAAAGAAAGAATTCATCTTTCATGGGAATTAAGTATTTAACCATTCTCACTAGACCACCAAAATAAATTACTAACTAATATCATGATAACTCTCTGATAATTATTATGATTTCGATGAGAATTTCAACTTTCATTCTTTCTTCAAATCAACATCAGTGACCATGATGATAATAATAATAATATACTATGATTGTCTATTTCAGGCAAAACCAAACCAGTGAAATAAAATGCGCACTTTTTAAACCGTCAAGAACTATAACAAAAATGATAATAATTCGTCTGTTTCACTTCTTGATTATATGCAAATTCATGACTATTAACTACTTTTTATGCAGAATAATACATATAACTGATAAATGTTGACTAATACTAACTTATACTTGGTGACGAAAAGGAAATAATATTAAAACTTAAAACAAATAAGTAGTTGAATATGAATCACTGATATTTGTTATGTGAACAAATTTAATATTATAACAGTTTATGATTTTCCAACGATTAAGTTTTGCAGAAATTCATCCGTATTATTGATTTTTATCGAAACATTTTTCAATTCATTTTAAGTTGTGTTAGTCGAACAACTATTCTCGGAATTCAATTCAGTTTACTCATTCTAGATTTGAATAAAGATCTTGGCTTTATTTTGATTTCTGAAAGTTTTTTTAATCTTTATGACCAAGCCTAAAATTTAGACTGTTATGTTTGTCACTAGGTATGCTTGAAGCTATTACGAGTTCACCTTAGTCGATAAACGCGAACGAGACAATTACCAGCTTCCAGGTAGGCTACCTTGAATCCCAAGCTGTCAAACAGAAGTCTTGGTAAGCGTTGAATGTATATTCTACAAGACCCAGTAATCACAATACAATCAAGCACACAACTCTCGTTTATTTATACATCATAGAAACGTCCTTGGGACAGTCACAAAAATAGCACACTAGAATACAGAGCAGCTAATCACAGCCATGGACTTTCCTGGTGGGAAATGAAATCTGAAGGTCAACTTATCAGCCCATGCTCGCAAACGTGAAATCCAAAATAAGGCATTTATCAAGAGAGTTCTGGGTATCTAACATCCCCAACATAAACAGTCAAAATATAAATGGGGAAAATATGGTTTTTAATGTGGTCTAATTTTTAATTAATTTTTGTATGATCAATCGTGAATATTTTTGTTTACCCTACTGGATATTGAAATTACAAGTTATATAAGTGTTGATTAATTACAATGGTTAGATTTAATCCTTCTGAACTGTCAAGAATTTTTAGCTTATTTGAGATAGTGTCACGTATTTTGATATCTTGAATAACATTCCGATCTTCAAACATAACATTATTTGTTTTCACATAAGGAAGAGATTGATACATTTCTTTAATCACAAATCAGCAATCTACGTTCACTTTAAACACTACCATTTAAATATTTAATCGATAATTGTGTATATTTACTTGATTGTAGAATTATCTAACCTCCGAATCGACTATTTCATATACATCCCCATCCAACGAAACTGTAAATACTCCTATCGAACCTCATTCATCAACCAATACAAATACTTGGTTCCCACCGCCACCCCCACAATTACTTCAAGATTCAATGGTTAATTCTACAAATTTCGTTGCACAACCACCACATTATCATGAACACTGTCGTCCAGATGATGTTCATCCATTAGTTATAAACAAAATGCCTGAGAAATCTTCAGATATCATTAATGATTTGAACGTATCTTCACCTGATCAAATCAACAGTTCAACAAAAACTTGTACATCTATTTCTCCAACAACAAATTTAAAATTATCCACATCTTCACCAACATCACATTTACCTCCAGTGTCTTCTTCATCTCATCCTCCATCGGTTCCTCCACGACATCCAGCTACTGCATTGCAATATCAACCAGAAGTAGCTGATTCATTAAAAGTAAGTAAATTTCAAATTGTCATTGAACACAGTTTTAGAATACGTTTATTAAAACTGTCATTAAGTTGACAGTAGTATTTTTTTCAGACTTAAGAGAGTAAAACAAAACAAAAAATAGAAAATGCAAACTATTTCAAAACAAACACATATAATACAACAAAAATAATAAATCGATTAATGATAAAAAATGAATCATCTTTATGTCAAGAAACATACATACACACATACATATGTATACCTTGTTTTTTTGTAAAAATTATTGAAAATTAAGGACCAGTTGGATAGTACATTTATTTGTACAGTTATCTCAAGTGAATACTTACTGAAAAGAAACGGAAAAAGTTACAGTGCAATAGTTGAACGTACCTTAAGCTATCTAAGCTATAGCTAGTAGAATCGTTTATGAATAATGTAGTTGTAAGAGTTTGAATCTTCTCGTTGTTTAAGTTAAGGACAATAACTGATCACTTTCGTCTGACATATATGCATCCTGTGAGAATAACCTTGACATTGACGTCATTCATGAACATTTTTAAACGGAGTCGAATTATAGCTAAAATTTAAATAAAGAATAATTGTCTCGAATTATTCGAGACTCGTCGACTGGATCTTCATGCATCTCAATGTTTATGTTTGTTCTGAGATGTTAACCCTGACAAATGACTAATAATTCCTCTTGTCTACACAAGCCAATGGTTATCCAAAATTATTAACTAACTGGATGATCCATGGATTAAGGTAATGGATTCGAATCCTGTGAATGTGCATGATACAGGCAAGTCCCAAACCGGAAAAACCACTCCTCATGGATCCTAACATTATCCATCATCTAGTTCTACTTAAATGTTTTAAGAATAATTTTTGAATTTTTCATTCTTGACTTCATAATTTTACATCATCATATTGTAATATCATTAAAACTTGTCTTTGAAATCATCGATTAATTCAGATGCTATAAATTTTCTTAGTCATTTGAGTTTACAAAATTATTAACACTTTTATTTATGAAATAATACTATAATATGGGTATTACGCGCTGTTGAATAAACGGCACTGAATATTTCATAAGCAAACCATATAAACCAAAACGTTTCTAAAGATCGGATGTATAAAATTCAAGTCTCTCATATTTTGCAGTCAGTTTTCTTGTTATAGAATCAAAATATTTCTATTGAAAAAAATCTTTCCATTTGAGTGTAAATCTGTATAAATGTGACTTCTTATAACCTCAACAACGTCGTTATACAAATATGTTCAGTGTCTGTTTCCCTGGAATTATCTGATATATACAACATGTTGTAATGTTTACAAGCGTTCGTTCTGTCTATCAAAAAAGTGTTCGTAACACATTCTGTGAGCTTTCATTTTTTTCTAGTGGTCACATAACACATAAATGAATTATCTTAACAGTCTAATCCAAAGATATTTAGAGATTTATTTATAATCTATGAGACTGTCAACACAAAATACTGCAAATTTCACATCAAATTCAATTAGATATAAAAATGACAAATATAAAGAAATGACTTGTTTCCAGAGTGTGTTACGAAGTGATAGGAGGTAAAAGCATGTAAACTGGTTGAGTTCCGCTTTGATAGTTTGCATTTACTATACTACATGAATGAACTCATTAGGTTTAATTGGTTTGATAAGTCACGTTACTGTGGCGCTACAAATAATTAATCAAGTCTTTAAATTCTAAGCTTTATACATCATTTTAAATGCAATATGATTTTGAAAGTCATTGAAAAATCATTATTTCACTGTTATATTTCTCAAGCAATATGTAACCATCAGCTACTGAAATGTTTGTTTAAATCCTGATCTACGCATTGAAACCTTCTCTTTTAATTCAACTAATCTTGTTCAAACTTTCTTGGGTCAACAATGATTAAATATAAATGAGATCAGAATAACTTCAAATTTAAGTAGTAAACAGACTGATGTGATGGTTAAACATTTTGAAGTAGGAGTACAACTAAATTTTGTACTTTTTTATTTATGGCCTTTGAATTAAGTTCAAAATAATTTTTTTAATTGTAAGAAAAGTTGATAGTAAAAATAAAAATTATGATTCTTTACTGTTTATAAAATCAATATTTTCAAAAATCAGCAGATCTAGCCAATATTTGATAATTTCATCTTATTAAATGCATTTGAGTAACTCTAGTGTTTTCACATTTAGTTATACAATATTGAGATCAACAATTGATAATTATTTAGAGACTATACTGATGATTACTTGTGTAAAGTTTAACTCAATGGAGTGTCAGATCTTTTTTATAACCTTCTGAAATCACGACTTAAGTCACTGACAAGTGGACTGAGTCATGTCAGTAGGTGTCGACTACCTGGTTGGGGACCGCGAGATGATAACAATCGATGGTTAGAGATCCTGAATGACATGGCTCAAAACCGTTTGCAATGGCGCAGGTGCATTTACTCTTTGGTGTTCTATGAAATTCTAACCTTCTGAATTCCTCATTACCTTTATCTTTCTTTTTCTAAATTTACCCCACTGAATTATACTTCTTCGATAACATCTTTGAACCCCAATCTCTCTGATTACTTCTAATAATTTTATTACCTCTACTACCATGGGATTTGAATTGACAATTTCATCTCTCCGTGTTAATGCAGTATGGTAACTTGAACTGCTGTATTTACGTGCAACGTTCTACGTCGCTGTTGACGATGATGATGATGAAATCACTACTTAATTCAATAGTTATCGAAGCTGACAACAAAACTAAACACAACTGGACAGATGCTCACACTAAATAAAGATATGATATAAAAATAATAATTAATTTTTACCTCCTTATCTTTCAGAAGCCTATTGATAACTAGAACGAATAATGTTTGATTACAACTGGTAAAAAAATATATTTCCTCTATACTTGATTCTTTCTCACAATTATTCAAACAGATATACAAACTCTGTTATTTATCATGTTTTTAATAATATTGTTAATTAATTTGTAGAAATAACTGAACTAGTTTTAATGAATATCATTACTACAATTGATATGACATAGTCTGCTATTAATTACCTTGAGAATATAAAACATTCAATCTATTGGTTAAAATATTAGTTTTACATTCAATTTCCCAATACTTAAATCATCATTTACTTACAGTACAATCAATCAACTCATTAACATGTCTAGGCATAATCAATAATGATATGATGATTCATGTTTTTTTCTAAATTACCTCCCAAAAAACCAGAGGAATCAAGAGAAATTGTACACAAAATTCAAACTAATACAAGACAATCAATCATACAATGTTAATTAGATCATTCTCATTCATTCATTCATTCATTTACACATAGAGATACTCTCTGTATACATGAATGATTTCTTACTAATCAGAAAATCAATGTCCCATTCAAATAAATAGAAATGTTTTATTGTTTTGTTATTTCATCAAATTCCTGTCAACAAATAACAGTCCATTATGGATTAGTCTAAATTTTCTGAACAGTTAGTTATTCACGGCATTGTGACACTGATGAATTCTATAAACATACGGACACACACATGCACATGTACACACAAGAATCAAAATAGATTAAGGGAAATAGTCAGATTATCAATTGAATCTTTATAATGTATCATTGAAAAAAAAAAGAAAATGATCAGAGTAAATGTCGTTTTTATTGTGGATAATTGTTTTTTTTTTATTGGACAAAATCATTGCCAATAAGAAAAAAGTACAATTTTTTCTTGTTGAATCATGTAAAGAAAAATTTAATCAGGATTATTCACTGAAAAAAATATGCTTAAGATAGAAAGTATTGGATAGGTAGGTAGGTAGGTAGGTGTATGTGATGAGGATTTAACATACTATGCTTAGAATATGATGTAAATTGAAACAAACCTTCTATTTAGATTTTGATAGCAATCATTTCCAAGATTCAAATAACAGCTTAAATTTTATTAACTATTATAATATGTAACAATAAACTGAAGAATAGTTTATGTAACAGTCTAAAATTTTCGATTGTTCATTATTTAGTCACTGATTGATTGAAGTAATATGAATTTTAAACAAAGAAAATCATTTCATGAATCACTGTTATACGAAATGAAATATCTATATGTTTAAGATTTTTACGGAAAAGATGTAAACTTTAAAAACAGAATTATCAACTAATGTTGTCTCTTTTCTAGAGAAAGGGAATTGCTCAATTTCAAGTGACAGGTCGATTCTAAGTAATAATATGCAATTTATTTTCAAAGACTGCTGTACAATTTATTGAGCTTCACTAATTATTTCTCTTCAATTTCACAGACAACACATGAAAAAACGAAGAACAATATTGTTTCGGAAAAATTGGAGGATAAATCTCATCAGAAATTTACCGATACGTGTAACACAGTATCAGTATCAACACCTTTGATAACATCATCATCATCATCATGTGAAAATTCTGTTTCAGCTAACATTCCACAAACACATAATTCAATGAATCAGTCAGATAAACTAACAGATTCCTCTGTGATGCTAACAACCGATAAAATAAAAATATCAACAAATAATTCTTTAGAATTAACTGAATCATCTAAGATACAAACAGTTTCACCAGGTATTTTAGATGAAAGAAATAAAAATCCAACTAACTATCCTCTCGATGGAAGATCTGTTGTTCCATGGGATTCAAATTTACAAGATAATTTTTTACTTTCAGTTACTTCCTCAATGAAAACACTTCAAACAAATGAAACAGAAATGATTAAATCAACATGTACAGTATCTTGTGATTCAACAGTTACTTCGTCAACTTCATTCTCTGATAAAAGAAATGTCAACTGGGCATTTTCACAACAACATGCTTCTTCTTATCCTTCAGAAAAATTAGTTACACCTTGTGTTGATTCAATAAATCCTGTATTAGTTAAAAAACAATCCGTGAAATTTCACGATTCAAATAGATTACAAAATGATCAAAAGTCAACTGTCACTGTAACTAGACCAAATTTTTTACCAGATTTTGTATTAATAAAATCTACACAGCCTGGTCAACCATCGATTAAACGTCTTATTTCACCGGATGATTTGAAAAATGAACGTATTATTGGAAAACATTATAATGTTGCAAATAATTATAATCTAAATCAATCTAGTCTACTACAAAATCAAGAACAAAATGAATTTGTACAATTTGTTTATCCAGTAAAAGATTCCGCGCATATAAGTCATCATAATCGAGAATTATTAATTAATAGTCATCCAGAAATACAATCGAATCAACCAATTGATGTATATTGGTTGAAAGCTCAACAAAGGGCTGAATTGATGAATTCAAGTACGTTTAAATTAATGTTTTTTTTTATCGAAACACATTGCTTACTTATTTACTTGCGTCAAGTGGAGCATAGGTCGCCAACTAGTATTCTCAAACCATCTCTGTCCTGGGACTTCTTTTCTAATTCAGTCCAGTTGCTATTCATCTTTCTCATATCTGTCTCCATTTTTCGGTGTAATGTGTTCTTTGACCTTGATGATTTCAAGTGAGGGCTTGTATTGTGACGCAGTTGGGTGATTTCCTCAATGTACCCGATCCACTTCCACCGCTTCTTCCTGATTTCTTCCTCGGCAGGAAACGGATCCGAAACATTTTGCGTAGACAACTTTTAATAAATACTTGTTCCCTCTAAATGACTGTTTTCGTGATTCACCAAGTTTCCGCCCGATACGATAGAACTGTCTTGCCATTTGTATTGAAGATTCTGACTTTAGTGTTGGTTGATAGTTGTCATGAGTTCCAAACGTTCTTCATTTGTAGAAATACTGCCATTGTTTTTTCAACCCGAGCCCTCATATCGATGACGCTGTCCAGGTAATCAAGGCACACACTTAGGTTTAATACTTCAATTCAATATAATATAATCATATGCTACTTAAAATACATCTAATTTGATTTACGTGAATTTTTGAACGAAAGAAGCATTAATACCTATTAACTTTATTGATAGAGATATAAAATAAAGTTAGAAAAATTATCTTAAATGATCGGATTAAAAAATATAAAGTCATTTGATGTCAGAATTGTATAACCACTGAAGCATGTACGTGTACAAAAAAAGGCGGCAAACTACTGAATTAAAAAAAAATACATTATAACATGAATAGAGTATGCTAATAAAGTATGTATTTTGTTTGTTTGTTTAAATAAGAAGAAATTTAAGTAGCTAATTAAAACATCACTGAGAATGATTGATTGAGTACAAAGAAAACAAAATGAAGCTGAATTACCGATTGAGGAAAAAGGATCCTTTCAAGTGCTGATGTATAAAAAATTTAAAAATATTATAAACAAAAGAGATGAAAAAAAGACTAAATGAGGATATTGGTATAATTCAAACTTCGTACCATGAATGGTCAAGGATGCTGATGTTTTAACGAGTTAGGAACAAAGAAATCTCAATTCATTTCAAACTGTTTTTTTTAAGCGAAACATAAAAATCAACATGTGGATTAGCTGAGTTACCGAAATCAGTTGAATTTTTACAGAATGAACTCTTAATCCCTATTCTCTCACTTCCAGAGAAGTAAACTAGTATGCATTTCTATATACACGTTTAAAACAAATCTTATTACCAGAAAATCATCCTCACAGATACATGAAATAGTTTCCGGCTTTTAGACTTCACATGAAGCTTAGCTGTATAACAATTTTTTAATGATTTTAAATAACCGGTTCTTATGGATATCACATGTCCGATCATTTTAACATTTTAGATTTATATAATAATACATCGTGTAAGATGAAATATCTCAGATTCTTTTGTTTAGATTAGGCAATTTCGATAGATTATAATTTATGATAAACTCTTTCACTGAATGCTGTCCAGCATTATTTCAGTCATTAGACAAATCCTTACGTCATCATGAAAATGCATGTTTACCTTATATATGATCAAATGACGTAATTTCTCCTTACTATTATTATTATTATTATTATTATTACAAAGTTTCAAATACAAATTTCATTGCATCATTTTTGACATCTCATGTCAGTTTAAAAGTTAATACAATTTAACTTACTTTTCTTTTTTTTAACAAATGTGGTCATAAGGCAACATTAAGTGTGTTTCTTTAACTTTGATAAACACATTTTGTATATATACCTAGCATACCTGTGTATGAAATTTATCAACATAGATACATCCAAACTACAAATCTTTCCATATGTTACATAATAAATAAGAAAATGTTACTCTTATTTTGACTACTTAAGAAAATATTTATGTATCAGAAATTAATGATCGAAATATTGAATTAATAAAAAAAAATAAAATATATCCAGTTGATTTTTTACTTCACAGAAATTCTTATTCAATAGAAAAGGTAACATTAGTTAAGCAACATGACACCATATGGATTGTAAATAAATAAAAATAACAGTAATCATGTTTTAAGTAGTAGGAAACAAAGCAGGGAAAAAAGAAAGCACTTTATTTTCAAAACTATAGCAAAAACAATACAATCTATTATTTAATTGAAATAAGAATGTATAGTAATTTTTAAGTATAATTGTTTTAATTTAACTATGATCATCAACCAAATGAAATGTCTTCATTGTATATTTTTGACCAATCAACTTGATATAATGTATACATAAATATATATAAATACATTAGAATATTGTAACAATTATATGTAATCAGTAAGTAATGACACTTATATAAACTCTAAAGCTTAAAATCAATATACTCATTTTTGATACAAAAAAACACATTAAAAAACAGATGTTTGAATTAAAATACTTGATAAAAATGTATTAAAACTAATTATTTTATTCTTTAGATAAATAGCATAAATTCGTAATCCAATGTTATTTTATATAACTCAATGGATATATGTTTATAATATGACAATAGGGCTGGTTATATTGTGCTCTATTTGGATAGTGTATTCTTCTAGGATGTCCTTTTGTTAATCGGAATGTTTAATCATTTAATCTTGTGCAACTGTAGACCAAGAATGAATGTTCGTTTTAGTCAAGTTCTTGCACTGAATCAACAAGATGAGAAGTATCAGCATAGTTTAATTGTTTAACAGTGTCAGTGGTGGACTGATAAGAAAGGAGTATAGAATGTTTTGAAAAACATTGAATTTCATGATTTGTAAAGAAAAAGGTTGTGAGGGCGCACTCATGACATCTAATGAATCCTAGTTTCCAACGGTCCCCTTAACTTACTAACTAACTCCACATAGAAATGAAAATAACATAATTTAGAATGATATTCATCCACAACTAATAAACTTAAAAACAAATAAGGATTTATGTAATTCTGACTACTGAATATATCTAGAAACGTTGAAAACTAGTTCATTTTCATGATTTCTAAATGTAACACTAAGAATAGATAACAATAAAATATCCAAAGAATCAGAAGGTCATTACTCACTGAACCATAAGTAAATGTATGTCGTTTTTACTACACAAATTATAATCATATATATATATATATATATATAAATTATCAATTATAATGTATTTATTAGTACTCTCGAACTAGTCAGTACCAATACAAGAAAATCAGGTGCTCATCAGTCTTGAAGCTATGAAGAATAAATAGATATTGATGAATATCTAAATGAAATTAAATTTTTTAATGAAAATCTCACAAAAAAAGACAAATTTAATGTCATATGAATGTTTGTGTGAATTCGATAACTATTATGCATTGATCAAACTTTTCTGTTCACTTAACTTTCTAATTACGTTACTACATATTCATCTCTCTCTATCTATTTCTGTTCAGATAATGTAAGAAATGGAATTCATCGTTCTTTTCGTGATTTTCCTCAGCGCCAAATCAGTGCAGAGCCTGCATTCACAAACATACAACCAAGTGTTATGCAATTATCTCCAACTAGAACACATAAAGAACATTTCACTTCAAAGATTGCATCTGCCGATAATTCCAGTAAAAATAGTAACATACTCTTGATGACACAATCAAGTTTACCAGCTGGGTTTCCTGAGCAACAGTCAGAATTTTTTCCTCATTACAGACATAAATCTGATAATCTTGTCCATACTAATCCTAATTTTATCACAGAAATCAAATCAAATCGTATGTCCAGCGATTCTATACATGAACAACGTTACTCTCACAGAAATCGTTCATATAATGCTGAAGATTCCTATATGAGAGAGTTAATTGCACCAAATTATAATAATAGTATGACACAATCTGTATTCTTTCCTCTAGATTCAGGATGGGCTCCACCAGATGTTAAATCAAATGATTCAACGAGCGGTAAACACAAAAAACATAATTCAAATATGATTCGTTCACACAGTCAACGTACTAACGATTCACAAGCTAATTTTGAAAGTAATCAATTAGGGGCATCCTCAGATCATACAAGATGTTTAATACCATCAAAGCATTATCATCGTAATTTAAGTCAAACAGTACCAGCCAATCCAGATAGTAATTCCAATTGGCCTCCAGTTCTTGTTCAGTGGCATAGAAGACGACCGAATGTTGCTGCTAGTACAGAAAATTTCCCTGATCTAGTCGATTACCAGAGAAATAAAAGATACAATGAAAATATGCACATTCCAGCTGAATATTATATACATCATAAATCAGATTTTTCACGTCATCATAATAGCACATCGGCGATATCTGAACAACTTGAAAATCAACCGTAAGATATTTTTTGATGAGTTATTTTTACTTCGCTGTATAAAGTTTTTTTTCCAAAGAAATTGGACTAAATTAATGATTTTTAAAATTCAGAAATGCTTGAAATTTCTTTAGAATTTAGAATAATTTTAGTGTTTAGTAATATTTCTTTTAAAGTGACAAAAAATAATTTTAGTCGGTTGTACTTGCACAACTGTTATTGTGTGTTGAATTAGATAGACTGGCTCTAATCCATACGATAACATTAATTTGATTGCGATTTAGAAACTGGTTACTTGATTAAAATTCCTAGTCTTGTCACTTTATTCATTTCGCTGTCTCTACCGTCAACTAGTAGTTATTCAAATGGAATTGTTAACAAATTGTTGCAATCGTTCTCAATTTTTATGATACTATTCTGACAATAATCTTCTTACTAGATAATTTCTTCATCAAAAGTCAAAACAAATCATACTGTTCCTAGCATACGTATCAATTATTCAACATAATATTGATTTAAAAGACTGAAGTTATTGATTAATTCTGCGTTTGTTCTCATTTCATCTAAATTCGTACACTGACTTGAGATGTAATATAGTGAAAAAATTATTCACACAGTAAAGAGTTCACCTTTCTTATCGAATGAGTCATCTTGATGATAATCGGCATTGTGTACTTAATACTAATAGTTTGTTCGGACAATTATGGACATACATTCGTTTGGAACATTGGTGGAAATACTGGATAGGAGGAGAGCGAAGAACGCCAGAGAATTCTCAGAAGCTTGGCATTCAGGTCAATCAGCAGTCAACAAACACATTGACATTGACCCAATTTATCGACCAATCAGAAAAATCATAGGAGACATAGGATCAAGAAACAGATCAAAAGAGGAATACAATCAAAACAAAGGTGCAAACAACTAAAGATTTAAAGTGAACAGCAACCAATCAAGATCGAGGTTAACAAAACAAGCTACAGGTCAAACGTGGAGAAATTCGAATACTTCACTTCTATCTGAAGTTTGTGCTGATGATGTTGTTCAGAAGAAGAACGAAAGCTCCACAACCGAAACATCAAGCTCAGTGAACAAAACACCACAACTATCATCCACCTGAACTACAAATTTTCTCCACCATCTCAAGTTTGTTCTACATTTGTACTGATGATAAACAAACGTTTTATCCCTTTATATTGTCTAACAGTGGTTATTTATTTTCATGTTGCTATAGAGCTTAAAAATTAGGTGGTTTCTGAAGTAAAATATTCTCTCTCTCTCCGGCTTGATAGACTATTGATGCAAGCGTTATGGCATATTTCGAACTGATCAAGCCCAATTTCTATGACTAGGTCAATATTTCGTTTAGCGCATGAAATACCGGCTTGGCTAAGTTAGGGATTTTGTCGATGACATTTTGTCCTGGTAAGACTTATCGTTTTATAAAAAAATTAAGCATATGTATGGATAGTACAAGTCACTTCAAAGTTAGATTTGCTTTGTAGGCAATTTTCGTCAGCCATGCCTTAGATGTACATAATAGTTATATATTTCAATAATAATGTAGGGTTCACCAATTCTGTGGAGGTGGATAATCGATACCTTCATAAACTTCGTATACTTCCGTGCTGACAACCGTTACTATAAAACGCGGGCCGTTGTCACAATTTACTTTATTAATATACAAATATGGTTTGTGTTCTATGCAATTATAGAATTTATTACAAATATAAAATAGTCGACACTGTCATCGAATTATTTAAACAACTAATCATTAAAGCTAGTAGAATGAATAAATGGTGAATTGATATGATAGTTTCCTCCCGGCAAATAAGGTTACAAAACAGTGTCTGTGTTAGCGAAAAATTATGTTAATTTTAATTCAACAGAAAATATAGAGATTTACGAAACTATAATGTAATATAAAACCATAGTGTAAGTTATTACAAGTACTTGTAAACTTGAGTTCGTATATGTCCGTGAGGTCATACAGTAATAGAAGATCAAACACCTTGACATCGAAATACCGAACGAATGTAGAACTTAATTATAGATAAGTAGAAATTTTCGATGTGCGCATACACAATGAAGACTTTTCTACCTTATCTTGTTGTCACTGAACTCGCTTCGTTTTTCTTCGTTGCTGTCGCTGATAGCTGGAACTTGCGTTTCTATGATTCCATGTTTTTTGAAGGATTTATGCTTACCGGTTGATCTTCGTCTTCGAAGAAAGCTGGTTTGACTCGATCGATGCTGATGACATCTGTTTTTCTAGCTTTATCCACCGTAATTGGTGTATCATTTCTTCTAATCACCTTCAATAGGCCATCGTAGGTCGATTATGAGAGACACTGAACATTATCCCTTCCGATAAATACATGGTTACTGTCTCTCAGTTACTTCGGTATGTATACCCAATGTTGACTTTCCCTAGGAAGCGTTATTCTTAGATCACTCATGTTCTCTTTTAGGCGTTGTACATAGTTGACTGTTTCAGTTGGAAGAATTTTACCTGAGATGAAAAACTTTCCTGGTAGATATAGAGTAGTTCCATAAACCAACTCTGCTAGGCAGAACCCCATATCTTATTTACTTGTCGATCCTAAACTTTACATTACTAACAACATGGAAGGTGTCACGATCTTTTCAAACGATGACCGTGTTAGGGCTTTTTACTATACTCCCGTGGTGTAGGATGATATGCCAAAAACGGCTATAATCGGTCCATATGTGTTATTTGAATTTTTCGAATGCCCTTTGGATTAATTAATGCAGCTGAAAACTTCCAGCGATTCATCGACCAGGTCGTTAGGGGTTCGTCAAGGATATATGTATACATCAACGAAATACTAGTAGCTAGTGCTACATCGTAAGTAGTAATAAGAAAATTGGACTATGCATCTTAGTATTTTGAGCCAAAACACTGTGTATTTACAGGACACATGTGTACATATACACCATTTTGTGTTGAACTACATTCATTTTTGTCGTTTCTTTACTATTCACAACAAAAAGAATATTCACTTCAACTGTAGCCGAAATCTAAGTAAAATTTTTTTTTGCCTGAATTAGTTATCAAAGTCAGAAATCATGGCTCTGGTGCCTATAAAGTTGATTGCTGTGTTTAGATTACAACTACGGTCTTCTTACATTGAATTACGCCTAATTTCTAGTGTCACATAAAGCTTTATAACGAATAGTAAATTTGACTGATAGTTTCACTTACGATTGTTATTCTTAATATAAGGTAATCAGTTTCACTCAGAAACGTTTCTGTATAAAGGCACTAGTATAATGTTCAAAGAAAAAATGTTGTAAAATTAGCACAGTCTACTTAAAAATAGTTAAGCACATATTCTTATTTTCTGCTAATTCCTATATACTGCACATCACTGGAAAGGAAAGATAATCTTACCCATCAATGGTTTTTATTCAAATAATAGCAATAATAAATTCTGGTAGTATTTCGATTGTCAACTGTCCATCATTTTCCGCAAACACACACTCTCTCTCTTTCTTCTTTACCTGTTGTGAATTGCTTTTTCTTCATGTAGGTCAACTTTTAATTTAATACATATAACTACATAAATTAATCTCATCAGTAATAACAATAAACAACAATGACGGTACATTCTAATAGATATACTTGTCTCTTTGTCTTTTGACGTTCAAACATAAATAAAGCCGACTAATAGTTGATTGAATTACACTTCGTTTTGCCTTGTGTTTTTTGTTTTATTTAACGAAAGAAATAATTAGGCGGTCAAATGAAATACTTATCTATAATGAGTCATTTATATGATGTGAACAAGTGAGTACTTTCAAAAATCAATGCTTAGTTACATAGTGCTGAAAAAAAAGTGTCATTTATAGAAAAGTTTTCAAATAAAAACACTTGGTGTACAGAAGACATCGAGAAACGAACCACACATGTAGGTTTAACAATATGCAGAACCAATAGTAAACGTAACATGAAAAAGTTTATCGAAATGATGTGATACATATTTCGTAAAACATTTTTTTACAATTTTTTCACACATCCACTGGTCTACTGATTGATATGAAAAGTAAACATTGAGAGAAAAGATCAAAAGAAGTAGGCTATTTACATTAACACTGGTATTGTCATAATAATTGACAAGTGTTTTGACCACCCAAAGAAAAGTCTGAATTTGTGCATAGCTAAGAATTCAATATCTATAACTACTTCTCATCAAACCATTTATTGCATCACAATGAAGGCATGTTCTTGGTCATTTATAGATAGTTAGTACCTGATTTTTTTTTGCAAAATCTGAAAGTTTATCCTTATTATCTGCAAGTAACGTGATATTAAAGTTAACTTCTTTCTAAAATTACCTAAGTTCAAGTTAAACAATTTCATACGATTACTCCACATTACGTAATAGTGTCTATTGACATATATGTAAGTTGTTAATTACCATGGGATGTAAAATACTATTTGCCTTGTAGTTCTATTATTGAACACTTTGTCAATTCTACTGACGTAGACATTTGATCTGCAGCTTTAAAAGTTATCTATAAGTTCAGACAGTCCAGATTAAAAAGAATTTGAATCAAACGTCTATTCATAGTTGAAGTGCTGGCCATTCAACATTTCATACATGATCGACACGTTGAAAACGAAAAGTTCAATATATGGCTTTACTGTAGACTTAATGTAAAACAAAATTTCTTTAATTTTTCCTTAAAAATAGTCTAATTTTACAAGTTAACACGTTTCAATTCATTTTTTTCCCTGATATCTGCTAAGCAAACAATTTTATTTCATCTATAATCTTTTTTTCACTGTATTCTCTTGCATTAATTAACCTTTAGTCTACAGTTCAACTTCTTCGATATATATCCTATTAATTTTCAAATGACATAATATCTGATTATCTGTTATAGACTTACATCTGCCAAACAACTATAAATACAGTTGTATATAAATTGGTAGATCAAACCACCACAGAATCGTTATTTTATCCATAAACCGTAGACTACTTTTAAGTAGTATATTGTTTATTACAAAATATACCCGAAGATCAATTGAAAAGTTGAACCTTATTATTATGTTAAATACATTTTAGATTTATTTTTCTGCTTTTCTTATCAGATGGTTTCATCATGATCTTTCACGTTCACATGCAGAGAAATTATTGAAATCTACACCAACAGGTAGTTTTCTTGTACGAAGAAGTGAGACAAGTAAAACAGAATTATCACTCTCGATAAAGTAAGTTCTGTCTAGTTTAATTATACTGTAATCTGTTTTTTAACAAATTTTCTTTTTGTCTAACTCCTTTTTATTTTGAAAATTAATTCAAGTATCCTGCATTTTATCTAAGCATTTCACTACACTTTTAAATTAATTATTGCAAAATTAATGTTAACCGGTCATATATTATTAACAATCAGTCAAATTTAAGGTTAACAAAACATGCTTCTAGTTACTTGCAGAGAAATTCGTATAATTCACTTGCGCCGAAATATTTTTTCATATTGATATTGTATAGATAGATAGTGAAAGCCATACAGTTTAAACACTAAGAGAATGAGAATAATCTCAACGTTATCATATTCTCAAGATGCAAATCTTCAATAGTTCAGTAATAATAAAGTCTAATGTATTTTCGATCAACCAGTTCACTGAGATATGTAGTCAGAAACGGATTATTGTCTTTAAGAAATCGTATTGATTGATAACTTTAGATCAAGATTATCGCCACTTTTTATTTGATCTTAATCAAGTACGATTAACTAACAAGAATTAATAAATTCATAACGGTGTATAAGGAATAAGGAAAGATCTTTTATTCTAACTAGTCTTTAACTTAGTACTTACACGTACAACATAAGGTGGATTTATTTTAAAATGTATTTGTTGATTAATTAATCGAATTCTTTGTATCTACCAATAAATCTATCTCTATCTAAAAAACAATTGATTGTTTTATTACATGTTGTTACTTGGTTTCTTTTTTACAGACGAGAAAGTGATGTACTTCATATGAAAATTTCACAAGATCCTGAAACTAGAGGTTATGTTCTAGGCGAATATAGTCAACCTTATCCAAGTGTTTCAGCTATGATTTATCGTTATTCACGAACTTTACTTCCAGTCCGTGGTACAACTCCGGTGTTGTTGCGCTTCCCAATCAGTCGTGTTGCATTTTCACATTAAATTAAATAAATTCTCATACAATACATCAATGCGTTGTCAATTATTATTATACATTCTTCTGTTTATTCAAGTTGATTTATTTATTGATAACATTACTTTGTAACTTTTTTTTTCTAACAGATAATAATGATCATTATTATTATTACTATTATTAATGCTTAGTTTTGTTTTGTAATCTCTCTTCATGATAACGTTCACAGTTTCTTTTACCCATATTCCTTTTATTTTGTCACTTTGTTGTCTATTTTATTTTCTGTGTATTTGTATTTATGTTTACAGCATTTCAATGTAACTGTCAATTTGTTCCATCTTTTATTTACAGTAATAGTAGTAGTACATATAATAGAGTCTTTCGCATAAGGTACTAACTATTGAGGATAAATCAAAATTATTCTTATCTCATGAAATAGCCCTGGTTATGAAACTAAACTAGCATTTAATAGTTGTTTGTAGATATTATTGTTTTTTTTTTTTTAAATAAACAGACAACGAACAAAACACATGTTTATTTTTCAGCTATTCAATGTTTTCTTCATTTTTTTCATTTTGTGAATTGTTATTTCAGATTTAATCAATTTTTTTTTCTGGTTGATCGGGATGTAATATCTTTCGATTACTGATTATCAAATTAATCAATATTTATGTTATACAAAATTCATTAACATGCTTCAGTGATCTTTTATGCTGTTTCTAAGCCAAAAACTATTTGGATTATTTAAAATATATAGCATTCAACGTTTTCTCTTTGAACAACAACTATGCATAAATATTGAGAGAGAATTATTATTAACGCGCACAAGCTTTGAACACCTGTGTATATAGAATATTACTGAATCTTTTAAAATTTGTTTATTCGCTTCATTATTTATTGATTTATGGACTTTGCTTCAGCGGGTTAATTTGAATTTTTAAAAACTGTGCTATGTTAGGTTATAATTACTTCTACTGTTTTAATTTCTCTTGTTTATTGGATTTATCATAATATGCTATGGAAATAGTACTGAATTACATGTATAATTATATATATATATATAAATACACAGATCTGTCTGACAAACTCTCGTCAAAACCCGAGTCTCTCTGGTGAAAACGAATTTAAAGTGAACCATTATGCTTAAATTATCATCACTACCATTGTAATTGTTACTATTATCAATGTCATTATTACTTTCGAATATTTATCGGTGTATGATTTTAACTATTGACCTCTAGAGCTGTTGTTCTTTTCTTTCTATAATATAAACTCCAGCTTCCCTTAACTTTGACCAATAAAACAAGCCAGTTGTGCTAAATGATCTGTTTCACTTTAGCGACACCATGGTTCCCTTGATTACTCATTGGCAATAAGCTAAGGACGCCCATAATCCAACCCTTGAAATCTATATACGTCTCTTATTTTTCTGCTAATATTTAATCACGAAGTTATTTAGAACACACTTATAACATAGTATACTCGTTCTTCAACAGATATTTTCCTTAAAGTACGGAAAATTGTAATTTGGAACACTCCAACGAGTATTTTGTAGTAATGCATGGCCTTTGTTGGTTGCTGAATGTGGCAAAACTACCAAGCGAAAAAGGAACAATTTTCTGAATTGCTGCAATGTTATTTTTTTGGTGGTGGTGGTGAGTTGGTTAAGAAATCTGTTGTTCAAGTACTGTTGACGATATGGTGAGACCAGACAAATACATCATCATATTTCGAAATATCAACTATTTTTTCTTGACCAAATGAACAAAGAAAACTATAAAAGTAGCCCTATTCTTGCATATTCAGTCGACATAGGCCATTACATGAACTTCAATTTAGCTTTCATAGTTATGCGTAAGGACTTTGTAATTCGAGTATCTATCTACCTCCTGTACACAAAACGCATAGGAATACACATTAATTAAATTGGTCGTTTTGTTCAATAAACGTTTGTGTAGCCTGAGTTTCTCCTAGACTTCTACTGAATAACTCTTCAGTTCAGTAACATTTTTCCATTTTATTTACGTTATTTTTCATTGTAAGACCTATATTACTTAATTCGATTTATCAGTATAAAGGACCAAGCGGAAAGAAATATTTCTTCTTTCAACATGTATTTTTAATGATTTAACAGGAATAGTTAATACAACGAAATGCTATACATATAAAACAGCGATTGAATAGGAATTAGAAAAATGAAAATCAAGAATTGGTCCACTCACAAAAAGACAATTGAAAAAGAATTTAACAGCCCAAATACGGAATACAATCCAGCGATTTTCGGTCATTTTTATGAACGTTTTCATTGGAAAAAAATGCATGAGCATGGCGTACATTTTCCTATTTTTAGATCTATCCTAAATTTCACCATATTTTACACATGAATTTCTAGTGTTTTGATAAAATTCCAACACTCCCACTTCTGTTTCTTCAAATAAAATGGATGACATGCCGTAATAACCATTGCCGGTCAGAATAACTATCAGATTTTAGTTGTTATCTTGTTTCAGCTGTTTGAATAGCCACACCAAACCTTCATTTAATCCTTCACCGTTTAAAGCATTCGAAGCAAAAATTCTCCATGATTTATTTCTCAAGTTTTCAAGACCGAGGATTTTGACTATTTCTTTGACTGCAACAGAGTTTGGTAAATCCATTTTGTTGGCAAAAAGAAGAATCGGAATTCGCCTACTGCAAATATCTGGATGTTTTAAAAGTTGTTGGAATTCGTCTTCTGCAACAATAAGTCTTAGTTCATCGGAACTATCCACTACATAAATGATTGCCTCACAATCTTTGTAAAACTTTTCCCATAAATTTCTGTAGGCTCCACTCCCTGACATATCAAAGCAAAGGAATACCGTCTGACCGACTATAATCTTTTCGACACTATATCCTATGGTCGGGACTATGAGGGATTTCTGCGTTTCCTTTAACTGTAATTTATTTAATATAGTTGACTTCCCACTGTTATCCAGTCCGATCACTAAGACTTTAACTTCATTCTTAAAAAAACCAAATATTTTCCGAATCATTTCAAAAAGCCACATGTTTTCGAGTTCTCCCTATCAAAACGTTTTCGATAACACTTTATTCTTCTTAAGCTGTTTCGTTTGCTGTTCTGCAGTTAAGCCATACGTAATAAGTAACTTGGAAAACAGGTTCTACAAGAAAGCAAAATACAGATTAAAGTAAACTTGAACGCATTTGAAACCCAGAAAATAAAAGTAGTAGTCTAGTAAAATGATCAATTCTACTAGTTCATTTGACCGCGAGATGTCACAAACAAGTTTCAATAAAAACCTACCCTCATATTTTCTTGAGTAGTAATATAGGTTTCGTAAGCTTAATGGGTATGATAGTTATTTTCAATCATAAATGAGAATGACTGTCACGATTGCTGCACATAAATTTGCACCATTTACGTAGTAAATAACTTAATGTGAGTTACAATCAGTGTAATCTCCGTTGGAAAATATCAATATCAAGCTTTACTTCATCACAAAACTAAGGTATGATGATGTCAATGAAGTATGGCAACTTGAACTGATGTACGTACGTACGAAGTTCTACGTTGTTGCTGCTTAACTGACTTCATTAGAAGAATTGTGCAGAAACGCTTTCTGTGGCTTTCCATAAGTCGTAATATTAACAAATACCTACTAAGAAACCATTCACTGAGATAGTAAACAATTTGGCCAGTTAAGTCAAAGCTTTGCAACCACACAATTCATGTTTAAGGTATTTAAACAGTCACTTTTTAGCTGTGTAGATGCTTTTAGTATGGTCATGTAAAGACATAAATTATTGAGCACCAAGCCAACACAAGAACATGAGGCTTGATCGGTGCGCTATTCCAGAAATGTGACGTTAAGTAGAACGTGAATTCCGATTAATGTCGAACTGAATGCAGATTATTAAGCTATCCAGTCAACAACTTTCAATCTCCGTGTTTAATGTCTACTATTTCGCAAATGCTGATCATCAAGTCTCCGCGTCTCATGGCTGAGAACTGCATAAATGGATAAGACATAACTGATGATTTTCAGTCATCATAAACAACCAAGAATTTTCCCTTTAATTATATCAAAGGTTTTGAATATCGACTTTAACTGCTAAGACAGAAGCAGCGCGGCATTTAGGTCGGTCCCAACTTGGAAATAATAAAAAGACCATTGTTTCAGGAATTAAATAAGTTAATTATTGGCAATGCAAATAGTATTTGATTATAGAAGTAAATGGATAAGAGAAAAGTCATATGAAATAAGGAACAGGAATAAGTTGCAGATACAGTATCGACAATAGTAAATGACCTACAAGAGAAGCATGAAGCACATCTGTCCTAAAGGCAACAAAATAATGTTTGAAAGAAAAAGTGTCTATCAAGCGTAATTTTAAAGCTATCTAGAGGAGGTGGTAATCACATTACTCAGGAGAGAATTCCATGTAAATCCGCACAGAATTGATTAGTCAAAACGTATTCCCGGTCCAGTAGACACAGAGATGAAACGCCTAATTTCGAAGTCATCGTAGACAGTTACAGACGAAGCTAAGATCCAAACTGTAGACAAACCAAAAATATCTCCTTAGATCCTTACTAACAGAAATCTTACAAACTAGGCATTCAAGGAAAGAAGAGGGTCTTGCGACAAAGGAGGAATGGGCGGTAGTCAGTGGGTTAAAGCTGAACCAGTCGAAGTGTCATATCCTGAATATTCTACACCATGTGACACAGACAAGCCGAGCTCTCCATGCAACCCCATCTCTAACTGCTCACTCAAAACGCAATCTCAGACCAGTAACCACAGAGAGCTTGGACACCAGCTCGAACTGAGTAGCGGATGAAGCCAAGGCAAAAGTAACTCTTGACTTTAAGCCTCCTTAGTATTATAATTCTCTTTTATGACTCTCCACATTGCAACTGGCTGATTTCCGGCCAAATAATCTGATAAATGCTAATGTTTATGGACCCTACTATCCTGAGCCGAGCGCACTCACTCAAATCACAGAGTACACAAATTCATAACTGCCAAATGACTAGGATTAGTGCAATGGAGTGGCGAGACTACCGCCCACCGGACATTACCAAATACCTGGAACTGTGTCGAAACAACCGGAAGCAAGCACAGACAAACCGACTGGTTCATACTAGCTCATGAAGAACATATTCAATATACTGCACTTTGAAATACAGCACAAAAACATGGGACTAATCGCAAATTTGGTCTAATATAAATATTCGAACCTTGTTCGGAAGCAAAGGTATAAGACTATACTTTAAATTTAATAGTGATCTTCGTACTTCTCATAACTTAAAAATGTGTAGTCGATTTCAGTCAGTAAGACCTGAGTTAGTGTCAGTGATGGGTATCTTTCGGTCGTTCAAGCGGGTAAATGACATACCCGTAAAGAGTTATCATTTCATGTTGGAACAGAAAGGTTATTTTAATAAAAAGCCAACTTTGAGGTCCGTCTCTTACTGAAAGGCACGTAGTTCTGGATTTTTGATTTCTTTAAGTCGCCATACATTTTAATTATGAACAATGAGCGAATGCCAGCCCAAGAGTTAGTAGTATGTAACTTGGTAACGATTATCAGGTCACCTTGATACTTCTGTATAATAGGATAAGTATAATTTGAGTAACAGTTCTATCTCGACATAACAATTTAAGGATTCTGGTTTAATTATGGATCCGTTGATTTTGCTGTGAAGTACGACGATAAATAAAACTTTTGGGGATTATTAAAGCAGTGAAGCTAAATCTTGGCAAATTGCAAACCTATCCGTTGCTGAAAATATTTGTAACTCAACAATCATCGAGTGGTCACAATCATAAACACTTACTCAAATATGTACTGCCTCTAAGACTCACTGATGACAACCAACATTCAAACAAAATTACTGTCCTCATAAGTTGAAATGCAGGGTGTAAAACGCCAATGTACTAATACTTGCACATTTATTTTGAAAATCAAATTAAATTGATCAATCTTCTTTCGTATTAAGATATAAGGCCCGATCTGCTGAGGTCCAATATCCAATATTTGTTTCCTGAGCTTGTAGTTTTGTCGTATCGTCTCAAAGCCACAAATTTCAAGCTACGATACTTCTAACACGCTCTGCGAATGGCTTAGGTCATTTATACCTACGATACGATCAACCTGGATGATTGACGATAGTACCAATGGACGTTCATCCCTGTTTCCATAGCCGTACTCGGTATCTATTCCTTACAGCTCTATAGATTGCTATTGGATACGCGTGGCCTGAAGTTAATCGGTACTTCGTCAAATATCAAATCCGTAGGTTTTAACGCGCGAACAGATATGTACCGAATCACCAATATATATATATATATATATATATATATATATATATATATATATATATATATATATATATATATATATATATATATATATATATATATATATATATATATATATTGCATTACTATTTGTTTCATGTTATATTTGATAAATTCCCTGAAGTAACGAGACCGAGGAGTTTCAACTGGTGGCTAATTATGTGGAGAGCCACATCGTCACCCGCAGATTCCCAGTCACGGCAAAACCTCGTCGACTGGCACTGGACAGATTAGTTTTCGCTACACGTGAATTTGACAGTTTATTTGCTATATTAATTACTTCGTCATTTCACAGTCCTTGAGCATCCCCTCTCCATTCGGTTCGCAAAAGATGATGGCATTATTTGTGGATCGCACGGCAATTACAGAGCACAGCGGCATATATCCAATGTTCCGTCTCTGAACTTGTACACGGCATGACATTGCATCTGCCTGGGGAATCTTTACACACCACGGAGCAGCGATTTTATGTATATTCGATAATATCCAACGACTATCTGCGCAGATGAGAATACTGCCTACGGTGTGAACTCGAATATAACATCGACAGGTCGCTCTCCCTAGAGATTTATTTACCTGTCCATATGTTTTCTTAGGAGTAGATTCGGTATGCAAACCTTTGCAACAGCCTTACGAAGAATCTTTTCACGTGATCTCTCCTCACGAAAAGACCTTCAGGGTTGATGGACACAGTCAGCACTGATCTTCTCACACTAGCATACGTCAGTGACAGTGCCCTACCAGATAAATCGAGATTCAGTGCTAGACTCGTCTAACTCACTAGCGGGATCATTATTTCTCCTTTGGAACCTACGCTAGACCTCATTCTCACGTCCCGGTCGACAGCGCAGGTCATTTGCACTATCTACGGATGAGACTCCCGTCTCACGTCCAGATCAACAGACCACAACGCCCTTGACTTCGGATGAGATTGCAGGCTCACGGGGTATGAGACTACCGTCTCGCGTTCCGGACGCCGCGTACGCCTACCTGTACGTTTTCTCGAATAACCACCCAGTCAACAACGGATACGCAATAGGACACTATCCCTATACCACATGTATGCTACGCCTTTCTCTTTTTCTTTCATTTTGTATCCTGAGCCCATGTCTATGACCATCGCCCTGTTGGTACTGCCAACATCTCTCAATCTTGGCGAAAGTTGGCCTGATCGCCCGCGCTCTTGTCACTGCACTCAGTCGATGTTCTGGTTCCGAATATATCTGGCATACGTATGGTTTCGACCTTGGTCGTTCTGGTCGTTTCTGGCTCCCTCGTTAAATCCGGTTCTGTCCTACGTCTGCAGCGTTTTCCGGTCCGCACCCCTACGGGCGAAATCCTCATCCTCTTGATACGAGCCACTCTGGTTTGGCACGCCAACTCAAGCAGCAAACCTGGAATGTTACTACTGGTACAGTTCAACGTAGAAGACTTTCGATGACAACTCGAGCTTCATTGGTCGCTTACTGTTCGTCAACTCTTTCACATTACAATTGCATGAAGCCCCTACGTAATGAAAGTGTAAACATTAATTGTACCATATGTCTCCCACTTTGCTCTGCTATTCGCCATCCCATTGGGCAGTTGATTGGTGGTCTATATCTGACGCGAAAGTGTAAACTTTATCTAGGCGGGCTACTGTAATGGAACACTTCTACGAAGAAAACGAGATTGGTGAAAAATAAACACTTATTGTACTAATTTGGTTTAACTGTACCAAAAACACTAACTTGCGAGTGACGTTCTTCTTCGCGTTGCTGCCATCTTTCATAACTTGCTGCTTGATGTAATGTCTACTTTCTCCTCCAAATATATCCTTAACTCTGGATATACTTATAAAATTTGTGACATGATAGTAATAAGTATTTAATGGTAATCATAATTAATCTCGACTCGGTCACCACTAAAAGCTAATAAAAAGCAGTTTGTTTCTTTGCGCCTAACTTACGTTCGCTCGACACGGTACAGGTGTTTAATAGTGTCCAATGGACTGCTATCTCGACACCCAATTACTCCAGTTCAAGTCACTTGGCGATCGTTTATGTTCCGTGATTTCAATTTGTTGGTCTCAGGGCAGTAGGTTTTCTGGATACCAACAGCTTTCACATTACCAGTCAGGATATCAGTTGTTTGCAGTCTGGAGAACAGTAAACAGGGGATTCTAAAGCCAATGAGAAGAGGAAAATTTCAGAATTATTTAAATCACCATATAAGTATTTTGATTAATGGCGAATATTGTGTGAGAGAACTGAAGTGTAAGCAAAGAGAATGAAACAGAAATAATAAGCGAGACATAATGAGTTAGTGGCCTGAGGAAACGACAGTTATAACAACAACCTGGTTTCGAAACATGCACCACGAACAGCAGGTCCGAGCAGGGGACGATAATAATATTTGAGTGCGTGTTTATCAACTCTTTTCTTTAAGCTAAAAATTTAGGGGTTGTGGCCACTTTTTCTGGTGCTTTTTGATGTCTGATTTAACTGTTCTATAGATTCGCCATTATAGATCTCATCTTTCTGTAACTTTGTGGGACCTTTGCCGTTTGGACAGTAGTGAGTACAAGCATACTTATTTCAAGGACATCCACTTTTAACAACAGAAGACAATCATTATGATTCTACATATTGAAGTCAGAAGATCTCCGGCCTCATAATCTGATAAAAGCAGGTATCCAAAAGCCCTAGTGTCTCACTAAAGACTTATACTCGTAGTTATTACTTGACTTTGCAAAACAAATGAAACGCCTAATTTCGAAGTCAGTGCAGGCGCACTCAAGCCAAGTTAACAGGCGAAATTCAGACAAACATAAAACATCTCTTTAATATTGTGACTAGAAGAAATCAATGAAGTTCGATATTGATGTTTTCGTCACTGTATCACATTGTAATATCCAACGGAGATTACACTGATTCCAACTGACATTAAGCTATTTACTACGTAAATGGTGCAAATTTATGTGCAGCAATCGTGACAGTCATTCTCATTTATGATAGAAAATAACTATCATACTCATTAAGCCTACGAAACCTATGTTACTACTCAAGAAAATATGAGGGTAGGTTTTTAATGAAACTTGTTCGTGAGGTTTTGATGAGCGAATCAAGATACCAGATTGACTATGATCACCACCAAATGTTCCATACGGTCCCGTCATTCATATCAAAACAAATCCACGTACCAAGATTTTATTGAAGGAGACAATAGGCATTACATCGGGAGCAGAGCATTGAGAAAAATGGCAGCAATGCTAAGAGAAGGTTGCGCGCAAGAAGTGGAAGAAGTGTTTTTGGTACAGTTAAACAAAACAAGTACAATAATGTTTAGTTTTCACAAATCGTATTTTCTTCGTAGAAGCGTTCCACTACAAGGTCTCGCACTCAAACACTTACTTACTTACTTACGCCTGTGACCCCCAATGGAGCATAGTTTTCTCCAACTAACTGTGTCCTGGGCTTCCCTTCCCATTTTTGTCCAATGTTTGTTCATTCCTCTCATATCTTTCTCTACTTCTCGGCGTAATGTGTTCCTTGGCCTTCCTCTTTTCCTTTTGCCTTGAGGGTTCCATGTGAGGGCTTGTCTTGAGATGCAGTTCGGTGCTTTTCGGAGTGTGTGTCCTATCCACTTCCACCGTTTCTTCCTGATTTCCTCCTCCACTGAAGTTTGGTTTGTTCTTTCCTACAGTTCGTTGTTGCTGATGGTGTCTGGCCAACGAATACGAAGTATTTTGCGTAGACAACTGTTATTTAACACTCGTATCTTCCGGATGATGGCTTTGGTTGTTCTCCAAGTTTCCAATTTGCCGCTCTTGATTTGTCTGATGGCCATACTAATCTCCTCAATCGTAGGTGTGCCAATATTAATTAGGAGTTCGGTGGATGCTGCTTCGATGTTGGATGTAATCAGTGGGGCTGGTCAATTCAAGAGTTCCTTAAAGTGCTTTACCCACCTATTTCGCTGTTCTTCAGTGTTGCTGATTACTTTGCCTTCCTTGCTTTTCACTGCTCGTTCTGGTTTACGATAGTTTCCGGCGAGCTTCTTGGTTGTTTCGTACAATTGTCTCAAGTTTCCTTCTCTTGCAGCCTTTTCCGCCGTCATTGCTAGATCCTCCACATATTTTCGTTTGTCAGCTCTGATGCTCTTCTTCACTCCCCTGTTTGCTTCTGTGTATGCAGCTTGTGCGGTAACTTTCTCTGCTCTTGTTCGGCTGACATTGATAGCTGCCTTCTTGTTCCTCCTTTCTTCAATTTTTGCGAGAGTATCAACAGAGATCCATTCCTCATGATGGTACTTCTTGTGACCCAGAACTTCGTGACATGTTGAAGTGATTGCCTCCTTAATTCCTTTCCAATTGTTCTGCAATGTTGTGTCCTCTCAATTGAGTAGATCCTGAAAGGCCTGGAACCTATTGGTGAGGGCTATCCTGAATTCGTTGAGCTTCACAGTATCCCGAAGTAAGGCCGTATTAAACTTGTGTGATGTTGTCTGCCCCGTTGTCCAGTGCTTCTTTAGTTTCAGTTTCATTTTGGCGATCAGCAAATGGTGATCTGAGGCTATATCAGCCCCTCTCTTGGTTCTCACATCCTCCATAGTCCTTCCTTTCGTAGAATTGATCTTTACGTCGTTATTTTAGTCATTGGTGGGTGCATAACATTGGATGACGTTGATTGTAATCTCCTCTTTCTTTGTTTTGAAGGATGATTTAATGATCCTGGGTCCATGAGATTCCCATCCTATCAGTGCCTTTTGTGAATGTTTGAACAGCATCAATGCAAATTCTTGTGTATGTGAAGCATTTTCCTCTTCATGACCAGAGTATAACAGCATTTCCCCTGAAGCTAGTCTCGGTTGTCCTATCTGTGTCCAATGCGTTTCACTGATGCTGAGCACCTCGAGGTTGTATCTTTCCGTTTCTGCCGCAACTCGAAATAGTCTTCCAGTCTCACACAGTGTACGAACGTTCCATGTACCTAAAAGAATGCTTGCTCTGGTTGTCAGAAGAGTCATCCGTCTCGGGACTTCCGAGGGAACTCGGCTTTCATCATGCGACATCATAATTCTTCCTCCAACTGCCAGGGCAGAGTTGAAATGGTTTGAATCATTTGTTCTGGTTAGCGTTTTTTTCGGCTAGTTAGTTTTTGACGGGATGGGGTGGCTTACCCCATGTCCACCCCTCCTCCTTTATCCGTGCTTGGGACCGGCAGTAGCCGTGAAGGTTCTACTGGCGGAGTTCTCGCGGTCAAATGAACTAGTAGAATTGATCATTTTACTAGACTACTACTTTTATTTTCTGGGTCTCAAATACGTTCAAGTTTACTTTAATCTGTATTTTGCTTTCTTGTAGAACCTGTTTTCTATACAGTATTCCAAGTTACTTATTACGTATGGCTTAACTGCAGAACAGTAAACGAAACAGCTTAAGAACAATAAAGTGTTATCGAAAACGTTTTGATAGGAAGAACTCGAAAACGTGTGGCTTTTTGAAATGATTCGGAAAATATTTGGTTTTTTTAAGAATGAAGTTAAAGTCTTAGTGATTGGACTGGATAACAGTGGGAAGTCAACTGTATTAAAGAAATAGATAGTCCTGACCATGGAATATAATTCCTAAAATATAGTCTCCATATTATCTCGAATTTGTGATTGACAGAAATGCCACTTAGTGATATGATTTCTTCTTGTCTTCCCTAGCCCCACACCCTTGGGACTGAACACTCCATCGTAATGCATAACGTACATCTCCAATAATAACTGCCAACTGACCTGAATTAATGGGATCGAGCATCGTAAGCTTCACCCTTCTGGAATTTTGAAGTATCTGGAACTGTGTCCCAACCAAACTGATTGCTCTAAGGACTAATTGGTTTACTTAATGATATTGGATTTCGGAGGGCGCTATTTGCAAAGGCTGCTGTACGTTACCAGTTTGTTTGTTGTGGTTATCTGTTTGTCCGTGCTCATGCTTGTTCTATTTCTGATCGTTGTCGATTGCTTTCGATAATAAATTTCAGCGTTCTCTTTGTGCTTATTGAGTCTTCAACTTGCCATTCCTCTTGTTCTTCCAGATATCTTGATATACTGCTCCTCACACTTCACCAACACACAAAGTACCTCTCAGCTATACTCAAACTTATTAAAGGCTGGAGTTATATACTTGTAACGGTTTTAAATGCTGACGCTATTCTGTTCGAACGTCGCTTTCCAGATGGTCTGAATCTTCTTGATGACTGATTGTTGCTATTTTTAATTAGTGTAAGTTCATTCTATGCGTTCATCAGTGAATAAGAACTTTAATATGTATATTTCTTTTTAAGACAGAAATGAATATATTTTTACAACATGACCCGTCTTAAAACGATCAGTTTGACTGCGGTCAGATCCGAATTTACTAACCGGTTAATAGTAAATCACTAATCAAACAACCGTTATTATATGACTTCATCGCTATAAAAACATGCGGGAAAGGAGTAAAATTTTTCACTTAACTAGACATTTTCAGTGGATTTCCACGGGTAAATACTCAGGTACAATTGTGGACGACTGCTGTGTAAAATTTAGTGGTCTGTTGTGATGGTGGTGTATGGACACACATTATCGTCCTTATTGTAGAATAGCGATTAGTACATGTCATTTTACGATACTTAATTAGCAATGTGCACTTGGATTCAAAGACAGACGCTGGTCTTAGTCTTAGCACGGAGTAGAATATTTCAACCAAGATATTATTCGCGAAGTCGAAACTAGTGAAATAGACTTAAAAAGATAAAGTGATGAGGAATTAAAAAGTTTGGGGTTTGAGAGAACACAGAATAAATGCAGCTGCGCCATTGCAAACGGCTTTGAGCCATGTCATTCAGGGTCTCTAACCATCGATTATTATCATCTCGCGGACCCCCAACCAGGTAGTCGATGCCTACGGACATGACTCAGTACACTTGTCAGTGACTTCATGCATTTCTGCCATGTTTTAGTCTGTCCGCGCCTAGCTTTCGTTCGACCTATTCCTACACCACAAAATATAGCTCCACAAGGCAGTCGGTGGTTAGACATACGTAACACATGTCCCAACCACACCAACTGATGAAAATTCACCACTTCATCTATTGATCTGCCATCCTTACCTAGCACCCCATTCCCTAACAACAGCATTGCTCACTCGGTTGTCCCAGGATACACTAGCAATGCTTCGAAGACACCTATGATCGAAAACCAGTAACCTACGAATATCTACTCTGACTGGCCATGTTTCACAGCCATAAATTAGGACGGAGCGAACTACTGCGCAGTAAACTTGTCCTTTAGTCAGCGCACGGATATTGCCTGCGCTATAAGTGACGCAGGTTGACAAAAGCCGATCAAACGTTCTGTATCCGTGCAGAGATTTCGTTAGTCACCAGGCCGTCAGCACTGATGAGACTCCCCAGATAAGTGAGGCGGTCTACACGTTTGACTACTTCACTCCCTATCACTAGTTCAGGTGCCGATACAACCCAGTCTCGAAGCAACATTTCGCAATTCCAGGATGAGAACTGCATACCGAACATGCTTGGCCGTCATCGGCATATTCTAAGTCAGCAATCGATTTTCCTGATAGAAGGTCTACTACTGAAAATTCAGACGAGGATAAGGTTATAACTAGGAACATGTCTATGACAAAATTGAACAAGAATGAGGAAAGTGGACATCCCTGGCGGACACCACTTGAAGTAACGAATTCTAATGACAGTTCGCCATAAGCTCTCACTCGACCAGTAGTTTTAGAGTAGAGAGCTTGTATAAGGTTAGTGTACTTCTTTGGTACACCTTTCAATGGCAGACACTGCCACAGAACTTCACGATCCACTGAGTCAACTGCCGCTTTTAGGTCCAGGAACACAACTATTGTCGGACGTCTAAATGTGTGTCTGTGTTCCAAGACCTGTCTTAGTTTGGAGATGTGGTCTATACAGCCACGTCCAGGACTGAAACCAGACTGGTTTTCTCTAGTCTGCTCTTCACGAGCGTCTAAGTATAATGGAGGCTAACAGTTAAGAAACTATATTAGTTAGACTGATTCCCCTGTGATTGTCACAATAGGACTTTTGTCTTTTCTTATAAATTGAGACAATCAGTGATTGAGAACATTCGGATGGGATTACGTCCAGTTCACAGATTTTACCTAAGATTTCAGTCAATCTAGCTGCTAAAACTGGATCACCATCCATAAAAATTTCAGGAGTCAATCTGTCGGGTCCTGCTGCTCTCTCTCGCTTCAGATTTCTTATAGCTTTTTCAACTTTGTGAAGAGTGGGGGAACGTACGTCGATTTGCCATTCAGGATGACTGGAGATCGTAGAAAACCGTAGTGTGGTTGAAGGCCAGTTGAACTGACCCCTGAAGTGGTCTGCCCATCAGTCCAGTCTCCTGGATTGAGAATGAGTAATAGTCTCACTCACATTCGGGTTCCTAATACCAGTTTCCTTGATAAGGTTGAACAACTGTCTACTGTTGCCTATCTCCGCTGCCTTTTCCATCCCTCTCGCTTTTGCCACCCACCACTGTTCACGGTCGTTGCGTAGGCTTTTTATCAGCCTGCGCTTAAGCTGACTTCGCTCTTGATCATGTTTAGAGCGAGGTGGGATAAGTTTTCGAGCACCCATCAGTTCAGTAGATGCTACTGAGATCCACGGCTTCTTCCTAGCCTTATGGTTTACCTTGCTATTAGATATCAACGCCGTTTCCAGCCTTTTTGATATCATTCCAACCTGCCCCTGGGTAGGAATCGCTTACATGGTCGCCCAACTGTTTTTCTAGTTGTTCCTGAAATATATTCTTAGCTTTATTATCATTAGGTAGAACCTTGAGAGGTTTCCTCGCGGTGTCTTTCCTACGTCCAGGGTTACCGGATATACGGAGAGTAAATCTGGATGCTATTTTATTTTGACAATTTGAAATCAAATTAATGACTTTACTAGGATCCTGCATGCGCGTTTCCGAGACGCAGCATACATCAATGGCTCGAGATTTTGAAGTCCTAGCTAAGGAAGCCTGATGCCTTATTTGACACAATGTCCGTACATCAGAAGCTCCAACATGTAGTCTAGAGCGGGGTTTCAGGAGACAAGGAATAACTTTTCGTGAACTCACATCGTTTGCATTGGCGGTGCAGTGAGACAAAGGAATGTGGGTAGAGTTAGTCGTGGAGATAAGAGAGAGATTAGAGGGTGTAGGTAGGATTTGATTGTGACCGATTTGGTCTAGCGTGCTGTTACGAGTATGAGGGCAGCTGTCACTTCCCGGCTGCCCACACCATGGAAGGTCGTTTCTTGAGGAACCTGAAAAAAGTAGGTTAGTGTTGGTCTTAGAGACTTGGAAGCGTGACCGCAGAGCCCAAGGAACAACTGCTTAAGGCCGGTCACGCACGGCCTTTTTATCAAAGGTTTTTTGAGTGTTAGCACTCTTCAGAGACCTCAGTGGGCACCCTTATCGCTGGAGACGGAAATCCGTGAGGTAGAGTGAGGTGTGACATTTTTAGGGTCGACCTTTTCTAACCCTTCCTTCCTTCTGAGAAGGCAGCATCGCTGCAGATGCTGGTTTTCTGAGGGAAACACCTTACTGCTGTCACACCCCTCTGCAGTCAGTAGTACGGCTTCGACCTCAGACCTTGCGGAGCTGCCCTTAGTCTGATCGTTCTCCAATCGACCTGCCTGGCATGGTAGAACCTTGAGGAACATATGTTCCAGCCAGTATAGCTCGGTTGGATCATCACGATAGGTAAGCCCGACGACCACGTCAAGATAGCAGCTATGGTCGGGAAATGGACAGTTAGGTCGCTTAATTAGGGCAGTTGTCAAACATCTTTATTTCAAAGCTGCTTTCGCGGTACCCCACAGTTTAGTGATGCAAAGTACTTCCGTACCTACTAATTCTAACCAATCACTTCAATACAAATCAAGTAGCCTTCACTTTGAAAACTCAAGCGAATTTATTTCCTATACGAAAACAACCTTGTATATTTTATTTCATTATTTGTGGCTCGTTTGCTCATACCGATGTTATTGAAGTCAAATAATGACCCGTTACCTAGGGGTTGAAATCTAGGCTCTTTTTATACTAGACTAACTCTCGAAAATCAAAAAGTCTGTGGGTAGACAGTTTACATCAAATTGTTACTATTATTCGCAAATTAGTTTGTTTTCTCTGTTTTAGGCCTTCAGAATCTAAAGAATGTCAAGTTAGTTACTGAAATATATCGCAGTATATTTGTGGTAGATTGTTGTCAAAAAAGATTTCGTCGAATACTTCAATACAAAAAACAAAAGCGCAAGCTAGAAAAAGATCGCAAAAAGACAATCTTGCGCAGCAAAATAAAGGAAAATATAGAAAAAAATCGTTATCATAGCAAGAAGTTTCTAAAAAAGGCGATCTCTAACAAGTTGCAGATTGCACTGAGTGAGGGAATAAGAATCTACATAGATTGTTCTTATGAAGCTCTTATGTCTTCCAAAGTTGGTGTTATTTTGGAAAACTATCACCATTTGTAGGAATGCAACAAATTCGCCCAGCAGCTTTGCAGACTTTATGGGGCAAACAAAAAAGCCACAAAGCCCTTGAGCATTAACCTTGTGAATTTCTCACAACATGGACCCTTGTTCCATGCTTGTCAGTCTAAATGTGATGGGTTCCTAAAGTATAAGGTCAGTCTGATAAATATGGTTGTAGATGTTGTATTTTTGTATTCTGCTTCGTGCTGGAAGGAGTTTACTTTTAAAAATGCCTTGATTGTATCTATTGTCAAATAGATATCGTGATTCTTATCAAAAATTGACGCAGATTCAGGTTCTGGCAGGCTAGACGAGTTGTAGCCAAGATTTTATACATAACCTTTAAGATGTTACTTGTACCTGTATTTTTTAACGTCAGTTACGTTCATTAAGATCCAGTATGATTTGGCGGTAATTTAATGTCGTTATGCATTATAAAAGGTACTTTTAAAGTGTGCGCTAGACGGCAACTAATTTCTTTGGGGCTTATCCACAAACTACTGAAAGGAATTGTATCTATTTATTGTTAAAAGGAAAGTAAGATTTGGGGAAATAAAACTGGCTCTTTTCCAAATACAAAGAAACGTTAACACAAACAAGGTTGAATAGCTGAATAATGTCCAGCAACTGGCACGAAAATCTGTCGAATTCACAGCATTAAAAAGTGCTGAAGAGCTGAACGCAATAAAAGCAGCATTCAAGTAGGTGCAAACCTATGAGTAAATGACTTACGTATCCAAATTTAGTCTTTTCATACACGCGGTGTGTATTTCACACTATTTGACTGACATTTTATTCGCTAAATTTAACTGTATTCTGAAGATTCTGTGAGCACTAATGGCATCATCTGGTTATTCAAATAGGGGGATGGAGTAGTGAACCACAGCTTCGGAAAATCTACCACCGACCATGCTACGTATTGACATTGTTTGCTAGTAGATACATGGCTATCTATCTACTCCATCGTTGGTGTTTTAAAAAATACTTGAAAAACAGCATTTATTCAAAATATAATATAAAACAATTGTTTCAACTACTATTAACTCATTATGCAGCACCACTGTTTCGCTAGTTGTGTAAATAATCCTACTTATATGTATGCAATTTCAGCTTAGTAATAAAATTCGATGGAACCTAGTTGCGCACTTCTATTGTCTTGTTTTATTACAAAATGCTTCATAACTATTACAGATTGGATTATATAGTGAAACACCATCAAGCATTACACCAGAAAATATCGAAATTGTGTACCTTAGTCCGGACGCAAAAGAACCATTGTTGTCTATATCGGAAAATTGTGCTTACGTACTGGGATGTCTTGTAGATGAACATATATTAAAGGTAAATACTTTTTCCAAAGTAGTCATACTTTTATGTAATAAAAAAGTATAACTGAAATATCTTCTAACAGAAAATATTCGCTCGACTAGTTCAGTGTGTAAGAATAATGGAACAAACCAGGCAAAAATAACGTAAAATGAAACAGCATCCGAGATTTAAAATGTGGTGTTTTGTCTTATTACACAGAACATGAACCATTACCCTCTATCCAGTCACTGACTTTCCTCATGTGGGTTCTTACTCTTGCTGCTAAATTTTATGCATGATACAACTTTTGTATGGTTATTTGCGTGCTTGTCCATTCTGCTTACATGTCTATGAAAATCCGAAAGTTTATACAATTTCCATTAGCATTTGTGACCGCCAGTCAGTTAGTTACAAGGTAGAACAGAACTTCATATGTTCGTACATCAGTTCAAGTCGCCATACCACACTGTCACAGAGACGCAACTGTCAATTCAAATCCCATAGTAGTAGAGGTGGTAAGACTATTAGCAGTAATCGGAGAGATTAGGGTTTGAAGATATTATTCAAGCAGTAGAGTCTAGTGAAATAAACGTAAGAAGAGAAAGATAAAGGCAATGGGGAATTCAGGTTAGGATTTGAGGGAACAGAAAGAATCAATGCACCTGCTCCATTGAGGACGGTTTTGAGCCATGTCATTCAGGGTCTCTAACCATCGATTACTATCATCTCGCAGGCCTCAACCAGGTATTCGACACCTACCAACATGACTTAATCCAATTGTCAGTGACTTCATGGGTTTGTACCTTGTTTTGGTTTGGCCGCCCCTAACCTTTTTACGACTGCGTAAACTACCTTAGCGTGATAAAACTCCGTGGACAGGAATTGTTAGTGATTTGTCACTAGTGTAAAGCGCTAGTAGTTCTGTCAGTTCCGAAGTGTAACGGTGGATTAAAGCTAAACTTGATTCTCCAAGGAGATGATTGGCTACTAAACTATAGTTAGTACTACAAACTGTGACATTCAAACGATTTACCTCAATTGTTTGCCTTTAATGTATCTAATGGCATAAGAGTGGCAGCTAATGCTTTTCCGGATAATAATAATTACAAAAGAGTGCCTGGAAAATCAAATAATTGAATGTACTTACATAGACAGTCAGCGACTATTCGCGTTTGTTATGTCAGACGATATGACCACTTCCTAGTATGACTGTTATATGAATGTATTTGACGCCAGCAGTCTTTTCATCTTGGGAGTTTACTGACATACTTTTTTCAATGGTATTGTTACTAACAACCGATGTTCTTTTAGCTCGTTTCATTGATAAATCTTAACTGGCGAATATTAGTGACTATCACCGATCCTGATTTTCGTTTCGCTAATCCCTATAGACCGTTAGTGTAGTTTCCGAGTAGTGTCTTTAACTAATTTTCTTGAGATAAATCACAATAGCCACTTTGCCCTAGATGAATACGCTAAAGATTCCATGTGCATAAAGTGGCAGATAGATAATGATGGGTTTGGTTCTCAAATCTCAGTTTGCGAGTACGGTGCACTTTTTGCTCCCAACGCAGTGAATACTGATCACCTACACTTCAACCGTGTTATTTACGTGGATAAATACTGCACGTAAGAAATTAGTTCAGGGTAAATGTGGAAATAAGTATGAACTATCATCACATTCACTTCAAGATTTGACAGGTTGTGTTATATTAACAATGATTATTGTAATCAACTTTCTATTTTTTCTAGGGACGCAGTCAACAAGAAGCTGAGAATCAAGGTTGCCGTGCTGTGCGACTCCCGATTCAAGAGTTTACATCTAGAGAAAAATCTAGCCCCGTGTTAGCGATAAATCATGTTATTGATATACTGTTAGCCTATATGGCAAATGGTGGTGATTGGAAGGCAGCTTTACAGTCCTACTTGCCCAAACGATTTTTAATATAATGCATGTACATGTGATATTTTATTATAACTGATAAAGAAATGTTAAAAGTTCTATCGTACAAAATCATGTGAATCTCTTAAGACTGAATTACATGGAAGTTAGCGACATAGCGTAGCGCGAAACAGTCTTCAGTCTGTTTACTTTGGTCAGGAAATCATTGCATGTAAGACCTAAGAGGCAAAATTAGATTTATTACTTCAACTTACGGTAATTTAGTACTGATAAAAATTCGTAAGGTAAGCAACGACACTAAGATGCACCCGATTCCTAGTGCCATCAGTAAGACACGGTTTAACTTTGTGACTTTAGCCTCATTAACTTTATCCATTACTATGAATCCAAAACTTCCCATAACAAACATAAAACTGGCTGCAAGTCCTTCGAGTATGTACTGACTGTTTAGGCGCCAAACCATTATGCCTACCTAAGCTTCATAGAAGAAATGATGAATTTAACTAACCGGTCTTTGATTGCCCTTGGCATCAGTTTCTGTTCCCATACTTGGCGGTCCAACAATCATATCGTAAATAACCCCTATAATATAAAATATATTTTCATAAGTGACCATATACAATAAGTATAATAATAAATAAAATGTACTACCAACTGGACCTTAACCTATTATTTCATATTTTTGATGTTATACTTGTACGACAGAAACTTACATTGTACTTGAAATATCACCTTATTTCCAAGATTGACTTGTAGCTTTAATTGATTTCACTCCCTCAGTTAATGACCATATCTACACTTGCTAATAAAATGATTATTCATACATTCTCCGTAATATAGCATGAAAAGTTGAATAAAGAAGGCATACGTCTCGGAAAGATTTCTTTCTGTGAGCACTCAAATACTATCATCCTAATGGTTGGAATGAGGTGTCAGTGCATTTGCACTAACACTTAGAACATGCTGATTACGTAGTCCTATTCGGTGAAGACGCTGACAAAATGCGAAGTCTTCTGATCACCCTAAGCATGTTCGGGATGCGGTTTTCCCATTCAGAATGCAAAATTTTGCTTCAAGATTGGGTTTCATCGGCACCTGAACTAGTGATAGGGAGTGAAGTAGTTGAGTGTCTAGATCGCTTCACTATTCTGGGGAGTTTCATCAGTGCTGATGGCCTGGAGACTGCCGAAATCTCAGAACGGATTGGCTTTTGCAAATTTGCGTCACCTATGGCGTAGACGAGATACCCGTCTCCTAACAAAAAGACGAGTCTACTGTGCAGCAGTTAGCTTAATCCTACTATACGGATGCGAAAAGTGGCTGGTGAGGTCTTCGATCATAGATGTCTCCGAAGCATTGCTCGTATATTCTGGGACAGCCGGGTGAGCAATGCTGTCGCTAGGAAACGAGTACTAGGTAGGCATGCCAGATCAATTGATGAAGTAGTGAGTCCATCAGTTGAGATATTTGGGACATGTGTTACGAATGCGCAACCACTGACTGCCTCGACGAGCTGTTTTGTGGTGTAGGAGTAAGTTGAAAGAAAACTAGTGGCGGCCAGACATGGCACAAATCCATGAAATCACTAACAAGTGGACTGAGTCATGTATGTACGCATGTACGTGAATACGTCATTTTAATGTGCTTGATCTATTTCGAGTTAACCCCGGTCGGAATACGAGATCGAGGATCCGTCGACACGACATGCTACTGAAATCCGATTATCGCAACCCACATTGAGTAAAAAGAAGGCTTGATATGAAATAGAATCTGTATTCTACAAGCATCCAGAAAGTACGTGGTCCGAGTCCAGAAGACAATCAGCATCCCGGACTAGGGATCCGAGTCATAAAACGTCACAGGTAATGCGTATCTATGCATTTAGGTCGTAAAGGAAACGGCATCGAAGTCTGTGACATTGACAGTTAAGACGACCAATAGGAAACATTGCACAGAAGTCGTCTGGTGTTTGCCCATTTTTCCACATTAGATTTCTACTTCATTTGAATGAGGGTGCTGTGGAGCTCATTTGATTGACTAAGATTTATGACGGCTTTTCAGGTATTCACCACTCTAAGCTTAGAGTATCTAAAGAAAGCAGCAATCACGATCATAACAGTCCATGTGACGGACCACTATGTTGTCGCAAAACAAGCAATCTTAATTGGCCTTTGACCATAAAACGATATAGCTGGAGATCACAATCCGTCTTACAGCAACCGTTTAGGTATTTCTTGCAAGCTTTAACGTCACCAAGATAAAGACAGGATCGCCACGTAATGGTAATAACCTGACGAACCTCCTGACAGTTTCGGTTCGTCGGTTACACTGGTGGTAAGTGTTAATAGCGTGAATGACCAGGAGTAGTGGTGGATTGCTCGAAACGATTTCATATGACCAAGCGCTACCAGAGAAGTATTGCTAACTGTTCGCGTGATGGGCTGTTTGCGAAAACGAAGAGCGAACGTTCAGCGCTTCACACATATTGGTTGGTGCGGAGTTTTCACTTAGAGGAGTTAAAGAACTCTGATTCTAAACCAACGTTGCCCGTGAGCTCCAGTAGTTTGATGGGAAGAATGACGAATGAACCAATAATAATTTGAGTTGCTTACAAGGGGCTAAAATTCCTAAAAAAGCAATTGGTAGGCAAGCGTCAAGTAGTAGATTCTAGCAACTGAGAATATTCAGACTAAAGCTCATTCTATATCTGCAACAAACAACACCAGATACATAGGATGTGGTTTCCGGAAAGCTGTTGAGGACCTAAGGTTTTTGTAAAAGTGATTATTAAGAGTTTAGATACAGCTGTGACTTAAATGGTGCACAATATTACAAATTCAATCTCGATAAAAGTACTATGTTGTTGAACGGGATAGTAAAATTAATCTTACCTCCTGTAATTAAAAAGTAACTGAGGATGAGGAGAGAGAAGAAAACCATTGGAGATGGCCATGTTATGAAACTTGGTTTCCTTATTTTAATTCTCGGGCACTGAACAATTGAAAAAATGGGAGCAAACATATATTCCATCTTGGTCAGTAGTGCGAACTTTTGAAAATGCCGGTGTACAAAAGTGACGTGGATAAAGAGAATCGGTTTACAATCTACTGTATACAAAATAGTAGGTAGATGAACTAAATCCCTGCAGCTCTTTGTCGAATGAAAACGTAGTTTTATTCAAAGTGTAATCACTAATGGGACTAATTGCACTTGTTCTGGCAGATTCCAACATCTTTTACACGAGATGGTATAAACTAGTTGATTTCTTTGAGCTCAATTCTTGTCATTTATTACGGTCACAGGTCTTTGTTAGTGTCCAATAAATTGGGTTCTAGCAATTCTACTGCACTAATTCTAGTCAGCTGGCAGTTGTTCGTGAGTTCGTGTGTCCTGTGATTTGAATGAGTTCGTCTGTAAACCAGCAGCTGTCATATGACCAGGCCGGAGATCAGTTAGTTGTGATGTGGAGGATAATAAGGAGAAACGTTTGTTGCAATTAAGAAGAAGATTCGAGAACTAAATGAATATATAATTTAATTAACTGGTATAGAAGATTGTGCTTGAGGACCGAAGTGTAAGTAAGTGAGAATAATCGGAGGTATTAGGGGAGATAAGTTAAGTTAATGATCTGAGGAAACGGCAGCAGTAATAACGAGCAAGTCTATAATCATGCCTCAAGCACGACTGGTACACTAGGGAGATGATAATCCGTATGTGAGTACGTGTTTATTAAGTCTCTTCCTAAAGATGTCAACTAAGGGGGCTGAGGTTTTTTCGTCTGGGAAAGCGTTCGAAGTTGAAAAAACTCTCAGTGAGAAGTGTGCACGAACTTGGTTTTATGTTGTTTGAGTTGCGATTTTTCGAGGATTATCTCGAGAGGTGCGGTGGTGATGCTTCGGCAAGATGTTCATATTGAGATGATTTGGCGTGCTCACATTGTTGTACGCAATCAGCAAATCGCCTCTAATTCTCTTGTGGATAAAAGAAAATAATCCCGAATGCTGAAGTCTATATTTGTGAGTTTTATTCTTCAACCCTATCAAACATTCCATATCTCGACTTTGCACTACGTCCAAAAGATTGAAGGGGAGCGACAACGTTGTGAACCTCTAAGTGTGGGTGCGCATATGTCCTGAACAATAATAAGATTTATTCAGGGGCGATAGCACCAAGTTGTCTTCGCGTGAAGTGAAGAGCTGTATTAACCTTGACTACGTCCCCTATATAGTTCTAACTGGCGTCTAGGCTTTTTGTGGTTTTAATACCGAGATCAAGCCCTGAGGAGACATTAGTGAGCCGATTTCCATTGAGGGTCCTTGCCGTTTGTGTCTTACTGAACAGAATTCTTATAACGAGACATTTCAGCTGATTTAGTTTAAAACTGTTTTTCACTGTCCATTCCACCGACGATATAAGCTCCTTTCGAATCTCAGGTGAATCCTCTTCGCTCCCAATTGGCCTCTAGATCTTTAGATAGAATGCGTAGATCAATGCTACTGAGCCATTTTTGTCTAACGGAAAGGTGAGTGGACCTAATATGGTCTCCTGTGAATCTTTCGATGCAGAGACTTGCCAACTTGCATATGCTATATTTATCTTGGTCCGAAGCATTCTATTCTCAATACAGTTTCTAAGCCACTATAGGAGCCTATCAATGAGGCCCTTATTTGTAACCTTCGCAATAAATGTACGTGAGGTATGCGAGGTTTTCCTTTACTTTCTACTTTGATTTGATTTCGGCTTTCGGACAAATCTGTCTGTTTATGTTAAAGTACTTTTTTGTTAGAAATCTGCTGTTTACATACAATAGTTGAATTCGCTTCATCAGAAGCATTTAGCATAAATACACTTTATACGGGTTTTAGTATTCTTTGTCCAAGAAGTGCGAAACTAATTACGATTAAAATTTACTGTGGTCTGAATAGAGTTTATCTCCTCTTTAGGTGGTCTATATTTGATGTTTCAGCGTTTTGGTTACGAACAGAAGCTGAGCTATCTGCAAAAGTGACCACACTGAGTGGATATCGTCATTCAGCAAAATATCCATCAGAATGAGAAAATATAAGGCTTCATTCAG